GGATGTAGCCTTAGAGGGATTACTCTCAGTGGTCTTTCAGGAGAGTACCACTGGCCTCCATTCTCTTGAGTGAAGAGACTTCCTGCCATAGTCTGTTGGGCCGAGCAGTCTGTTGTAACATGTTGCATGCAACCAGCAGAGCAGGCCAGGGTTATTTTTGGATGTGAACTAGCAAACAACTGTGAAGTGGCAGCATGTCAAGGAGGACTAGGTTTGATGTCAACCCTGGAAGGGGTGGCCCTGAGCTCACCTCAGAATAGAGTGTATTCATTCATCTGACAGTTATATATAACCATCTCTAACTGCTGCTACAGGAAGTCTCTTTACTAAGATAACACTGAGAAATCTATTAAAACAATGGTCTAAATACCTCATCGGCATCTTTGTATAGCTATTTTTTAATTTAATTTTAAACTCACACACTGTAAAGTTTACCATTTTAAAATGTGCAGTTTCGTGGCCCATTAGTGAGTCATGAGGTTGCATCTCATGACTTCTGCCAAATTTCAGAGATTTTTTTGATCACTACAAAAAGAAACACCATGTGTGTAAATAGTCCTTCCTATTCTTTCCTCTCTCTGCTAACCAACTTGCCTACATTCTGTCTTATTTGTCTACTATAGACATGATCATACAATCTGTAGTCTTTTGTGTCTTGGCATGTATCTTCAGGGTTCATCCATGTCATCTCCTCAGCACTTAATTCCTTTCTGTGGCTGAAGAACATTCCATTCCACTAAAGAACAGTCCAGGTTTTGTTGATCTTTTCATCAATTGATGGACAGTTGGAAGTTTTGCACTTTGGGGAAATTGTGACTATTGCTGCAATGAATATTCATGTGTAAATCTTATGTGAGATGAACTTTCCATTCTCTTAGGTAGTGCTTCCGAGTGGAATTTCTGGATCATAGTGAATTCTGTGATTAACTCTTTGAGGAACTACCAACCTATTTCTGCCCCCCCCCATACTAGTGTATTAAATGCTATGTGTACATGGTTTTAAACATGATTTCTACTACGGAATGGAGTTTTATCCTTAGCAAACCTATGTAACTACTACTGCAGCTTCACATGGTTCCAAATACACAGGAATATTAGTGACAGGAATTCTATCCAGCACATACCTATTTAGTAATCTTCTGCTATATCCCTAGGAACACAGCAGTGACCACAATAGGGGCGTTTCCTGTTACCATGGCTTTGATAGTCTTGGGAGGAGGTGACCCTTAAATTATACCCTCTCAATTAAGTAGATGGTCCACCTGGGATCTGTGCTCCCAAGGAATAGTGCAGATTACTCTAGCAATCTAACCCAGAGCGAGTGCCAAGAGATCAGGTGTCCATAGACTGTCTCCTGTGAAACTAAGTTCTGGAAGATATGTAGGATGGAGAAAAGACTTCCAGTGATGAAGGTAAGTATAATGGTTCAGAGGCTGGAATGGGTATGGTGCTTTGAAGAAGACAAGATCCAGGAGGGTGCTGAAAAAGTGTGAAGATGTGAGGAAGACTTCTTTGCATAACAAAAGTTGTTTGATTTCAACAATGTGAGTTGATTTTTGTTTTTTAATGAGACACATGAATATAATAAACCTACCACAAATTATGGTATGGCTTTGGTTTTAGGTTGTTTTTCCCTTTTCTGGTCATACTTAGTCACAAACTGATGGATGTGGTAAAGACTCAGATCTAGTTAGCTTAGTTCATGGGTTGAAGATATCATTGGAATATTCATAGTTATCCCCATTTACTTTTGTTTTTTAAGACAAAATAATGTATTTACTAACATAAAAAATTACACTGGCCAGAGCATTTTTAATAAATATTATTCTTTATTCTCTAGCAATGCAGTGTAATAGTTGTGAACATAATATTTATAGTATGTTAAGTACTATAGACATGTGGATGATTTAAGTGTTTGGGAAGATGTGTACAGGTCATATGCAAATAGTGTACCATTTTATTTAAGGAACCTGAGCATCAGCAAATTTTGATATTCTTGTGAAGGGAGGGTCTTGGAATCAGTTAATGGTGAATTGTATTTAGTCACTGTGGAATTATTTTATCCATCTGACTTCATATGTTGTTATTTTGGATAAGAATATTTAACATCTACTCTCTCTTCAACTTTTTAGTGTTTAATGTAGTATTGTCAGCTATAGTCACCATAGTTTTCAAGATAACACCAGAATATTCATCCTGTCTGACTGGAAGCCTTTATTTTCATGTTAAATTGCTTGATTAGACATTGATTTTTTTAAATTTGTATCTATTTATTTATTTGTTTGTTTTGTTGGTCATGGAGCTTGAACTCTGGGCCTTCATGCTGTCCCTGAGCTCTTCAGCTTGAGCCACAGTGCCAATTCTGGTCTTTTCTGTTTATGTGGTGCTGAGGAATTGAACCCAGGGCCTCGTGCATGCAAGGCAAGCACTCTACTGCTGAGCCACCTTCCCAGCCCCTAGACATTGATTTAAAAGAAAAAACTGCTAAATGTTGAAATCAGACTAATGTTAATCAGAAGGAAATAAAGAATTCCAGATATTATTGGAGAATTCTAAATATTTGATGATGAAAATTTTTAGCCTAATCATAATAGTTAATATTGGCTAAGGTGTTTGGATAGTGACAGATTCTGTATACATTTGACTTAGATTCTTGGATCCTATCTATTTGAGTAGTTTTAAAATGTGAATTTTTACTTTACTGATATAGCTATAGATACAGTACTGAAAATAATTTCATTTTAGCCCTTCAACTTGAAATGGTTTGTTTGTTTTTAGTCGTGGGGCTAGAACATAGGACCTGGGCACTATCCCTGAGCTCTTTTGCCCAAGGGTAGCACTCCACCACTTTGAGTCACAGTGTACCACTTCCCTTCTGGTTTTTGAGTGGTTAATTGGAGATAAGAGTGTCATGGGGACTTTTCTGCCTACGCTGGCTTCAAACTGTGATCCTCAGATCTCAGCCTCCTGAGGAGCTAGGATTATAAGCATAAGCCACTGGTACCCAGCTTGAATTTTTTTTTTTAAATTTTATTTTATTTGTGAACATGCTGTACAGAGGAGTTACAATTACATGGGCAGGATAATGCGTACATTTCTTACTAAGCATTGCAGCCTCCTCCTTTGTTTACCCTTCACATCCCTTCCCCGCCTTCCCCCTCCCCCCCAATCCCAATCCTTCTCCTTTCCCCCCTTCCCCCCCACCCCGCACCGACGTTGTAAAGCTCGTTTTGGACATGACAACTTGTACTTCTCATTGTTGCAACAGGTCCACCTGTATCCTTAAACAACTGGTTTTTCCCCATCTCCTCCACAAGTTATACTGACATCAAATATAGTGAAAGCAGGGGTTATACTGTGGGGGAGGGACATACAAAGCAACAAAGAGATAATCTTATAAATGTGTTAGAAACACATGCATGAAAAAAAACATTAAAATACACATCTAACGGTTCATTTTCCTGACATCACATTATCTGACCTTTTCTGCTTGACTCATACATATACTAGATATTACAAATAAGGGAAACCATGGGACCTATGTTTCTTTGGGCCTGGCTTACTTCACTTAATATAATTTTTTGAAATTGTTTTTTAAACTAAGGAAGTTGGTTCATCAAAATGAATTATTCTTCCACTTGATTCTTGCAATTAATAAACACTATTTATTCTTGCATTTTTTTGTTTTTCTGTAAGCATTTGAATGTCTTATTGCCTGGAATACTGCTCAAGATATTAGAAATAACGAAAGGAATAAGACATACCTCTATATTCACAGAGTTTTGAAAAACAATACTATATTTAGATTTAAATTATTTATATTGTAGTATTTGTTTCAAGACCTGTTAGGGGGCTGGGAATGTTGCTTAGTGGTAGAGTGCTTGCCTAGCACATATGAAGCCCTGGGTTCAATTCCTCAGTGCCACACAAACGGAAAAAGCTAGAAGTAGCACTTTGGCTCAAGCGGTAGAATGCTAGCTTTGAGCAAAAAGAAGCTCAGTGACAGTGTCCACGCCCTGAGTTCAAACCCTAGGACTGGCAAATTATAAAGACCTATTAGAGTATAATTACTATCAAATTTGCGATTGAACATTTGCTATCTAACATTTAATAAGAATATTATCATTATAATCTCTTCCCAGTTTAGCTTTTGTTTTTCATAACATTAAAAGATAATTGATATAACATATTTGTACTTGTAACTTACCTGTTTTGTAAAATATTTATCACTTATGATGTGGTTTTCAGGGAATGTAATGTTAAATAATAACTTTGCCCTTGTGGAATTTTCGGGCTGGATGGTTTATTGATGGGCCTTGTTTGTTTTTAAAGTTCTAAGGCTGTATTATCTACTTCCCATTATGCCTTTGTCCTAGTTTTGTTTTCTATCTTTGGTTTATTGGTATATCTAGTGTTATGTCAGAGATACACAGTGGCAAAAGAAAAGACACTGAGTGACTTTAGTATTGTGTGCAATAAAAAAAAACCCTCTGGAATACTCTCCCTTCTATCATAACACAATAATAGCCTCTTCTTTCATTGTTTTCCCCCAGTAAGCTACACTGGGAAATGTTTTTGTGCATTTTTATGAGTCTAATGATGCAGTTGTTTTTAATGTTGGCTTTATGTGTTAAACTTTTACTAATTGGACAGCTATCATTGTGCTGTTTGAGTTTCTTTTTTATTTTGTTTTGTTGTGGCATCTGAAATAACTGCACCCTTGTTATGTTCCTTTTCACATCACTTTCATGACTCTCTCCCTCCCCCCAGTCCAGCCTTCTCCTGTGTCTTGTCACTCTTGAAGCTGAGAGGAACATTGAAAGTTTTGTTTCTTTACATAATTTTGCATATCCTTGCATTTACAAATACATCTTAAAGCTGTACTATTGCTGCTAGCCATTTTGTTTGAAGCTATTCATTTATAAACTGATCTGTTTCAACAGAAATAGCCTTCTCATAGTAAAAACAGGTTCTTAAAATAATACCTTTTCTCTTTCCAGTTTTGAGAAATGGCGCTTGGGAAATTGTTCACTGGGAAAAGGTATGCACTGATTTTTATTTTGCTAACAAAGAAGTAGTAAATGTATACTCGGAGATGTGTTTGGTATACACAATATAAGAAAAGTCAAGAATTCTTCTAGCATGAAAACTATTTAGTAATAATGTCAATGTTCATGGCATCTTCAGTCACATTCCCTTGAGTATTCTAAAAAGACATCTTTTGAAAAGTAGTATCTACAACTTTTTGTTTCTTTCATAGCATTTTGAGTACTGTTTTCATAGATTTTATTTAACCATGAACTGTTTTGTGTTGTAAATTTTGCTTTAATCATCTACTGTCCAAGTAAAATAAAAACTAAGAGTTCTGATTTCACATTTGTATATTTTACCTCAAATTCATACAGTAAGACTAATCACATTTTCATACTATGAACTTCTATTCTGAAATAGTCTTACAAATGAGAATTTTCATTTCCAAATGGAACAAAACTCAGTCTTGTATCATTAGAAGTTAATGCACTCAATCGAACTCTGATATGGCAGTGAGTGAACTACATCGCTTTCACAAATGTTACCCTAATGTTCATTCTTTTCAGATCCCAATTTTAAAAAGTTAATAGTTATTACTAGCTCTCCCTCAGTTCTGGAAGACTTAATCTAGCCTCTGAAACCTGGCCAGGCCAGGCCAGTCCATTCAGAGAATTCTGTGTTTCCTGGGATTTGAAGACACTGGAGGTTGTATTTCATAGAATAGTGTCTTCCTAGGCCAATAAGGATGTCACCAACAGTCACTACTTGTTCTATATTATTGCTCAGTCAATTGAAGTCCATTCATTTGATATTTATGGTATTTATAGTCACCTTATTTACCTGTCAGCATAAGTGTCCCCTGTCAATAAAAAAAATTAATTGCATTTTTATTTATTTTAAATGAGTGGCTATAATAGAAACTTCCATCTACCAAATGAAAGTTCACCTTCTCTTTTTGTCTTTGACATAAGAGTATCAATGAGGAAAATACCTTGATTATGTGTGTTTTATTTGTATGCTGGTCATCTGTTTCAGAAGAGTAAAATAACAGAAAAGGTAAAAGTAATATTTTTATGATCTTTTCTGGTACTCATGGACTTAAAACATTTTAAAGAGAAGACAGATAGGATATAATCAAGTAAGATCTAAAGGAATATTTTCATGACGAGATACCTGTGTAGTAAGTATAAATTCATATTGTGGCATTTTAATACATTAGTTTCTTGTTACTTAGACCACTTGCTCAGGAACCAAATATTTACAAAGGAGGTAACAGTCTGTTACTTCACTCTGAAATTAACTTTTAATGTTTCTTATTTCCCTAACAGACAACCATTAGTTGTTCAAGATTACGCTTATCTCCATGAATTACTTTAAGTCTTCTTTAAAAAATTTTTACAGGCAAAAATACCAAATCACCATTTTTGATTAACTATAAGAACTGTATTTTCAGTCATCTTGGGAGTCAGAGCCATGCTTCAAATGGATATCTTATGCTGAGAAACAGAGAGATAGTATTTAATTTAAAGTGGAAACAGTAGTCACCTAGCTAAGATGAGCTTATATCATGTACAGTTACAAAGAGATGCTTAATTAGAAAATAAAGTTTGTCTCCATGATGAATTCTGAATATCCAGACATCAAAAGCATTCTTCAGTGAGCAATATCAAGTTAGAAAATGGGAAGAAAGATCATATTGCTGATAACATGCATACAAATAAAATATGCATACAATCGAAAGAAATCATCTATACCTGAGGTGTCAAAGATCCACTTAAATGTACATATTTCAAATTATTAATGTAATTATGATTCCCAGGAAATTATCCTTTTTAACCCTCAAGAGTCGATTAAATTACTAGTCTGATTTCTTCAAAATTAAATAGTTGACAAAATAGAAGACTATGGAAAGATGAAGAAGAAAGTACTAGAGTTAATTGTAAGTAAATCAAATGTGAAAGTTATTTAAATAGTGTGCATAAAGTTTAAAAATAGACAATAATGAACAGAAAATCATAAATAAAGATAGCAAAGAATAGAATACAATGTTAAAGAAAAAAACTTTTAAATATTTTATAGACCAGACAAAAATAAGTGGTAAAAACATTAATTTTCTTAAACATTAGTAGAATAATGCTTGAATATTTAGCTTATAGCTAAGTGACAGACTATACCAAAAATAAGTTCAGTTGGCTAAAAGGTTACAACATTGTTTCTGAAACTCATACAAACAGTTTTGCTTGCTTCACTGATATTCTACCACTTGAGCCACTTCTCCAACCCAGCCTGGTGTATCGGTTATTTTGGAAGTAGTCATGGACTTTTCTGCCCTGGCTGGCTTCTAACCTGATCCTCCAGATCTCAGCTTTCTGAGTAGCAAGGATTACAGGTATGAGCCTCTGGCTCCTGGACTATTTCAGAATTTTTCTATTTTATTCCTATACCATTGTGGATTGAGAATCATAGCGGAGAGTTCTAGGAATTTATCCAAAGAAAGTAATCATGAAGTGGGAGAAAATCTTTACATATATAAAATATGTGTTCTAGCATTATTTATAATAGATAAATATAAGTGTACATGATATACAGTGAGGAACACATTTTATAAAGAAATTAGTGCATTCTACACTCATGGCAAGTAAGTATTGTAACTTTATGTGCTATGACAACACAGAAAAACTTTATAATCTGTATTCAAAAAGTACTTTTTTACATAAAGGTACCAAGCAGTGAGCTCATCGCAAGAAGCAACACATAATAGAGGTTCTTGTGTTGTAAAATAGAATCATAGATAAACAGAGCAGGACCATGAACCCTGAGATGCCTCCGCAGAAGCAGCATTATATCAAGCAAGTGGTCAGACACAAAGCTGACTTTGGCTGCCTTGGGCATATTATGGAGGAAGGTTCTTTCCTTGACTTATGCATTTTGTACAATTAAAAAACAAAACCAGGGCTGGGAAGGGGGCTCAGTGGTAGAATGCTTGCCTTGCATGCACAAGGTCCTGAACTCGATTCCTCAGCACCACATAACCAGAAAAAAGCCAGAAGTGGCACTGTGGATCAAGTGGTAGAGTGCTAGCCTTGAGCTGAAGTGCTGAGGGACAGCACCTAGGCCCATAGTTAAGGCCCCACCACCAACAAAATAACAACAACAACAACAAAAACATTTCTTTATAAATAAATATTTACATTAGAAACAAAACTTTGTAATGACTTGTTATACAGTATTTTTAAACTTTAATTATCAGTACTATTTTCTCAATTAAAGTTATTAATGCCAGGCGCTGGTGGCTCACGCCTGTAACCCTAGCTCCTCAGGAGGCTGAGATCTGAAGATTGCTGTTCAAATCCAGCCTCAGCAGGAAAGTCTGTGAGACTCTTATTCCCAATAAAGCACTCAGAAAACTGGAAGTGGCTCTGTGGCTCAAGTGGTAGAGCGCTAGCCTTGAGCTGAAGAGCTGAGCAATCCTGCCCAGGCCCAGAGTTCGAGCCCCATGACCAACAACAACAAAAAAGTTATTATTAATAATGTACTAAATCTTAACTTGAGAATGTAATACCATTTAATAAAAACAAAATGAAATTTCAGATTTAATATTTCATGATTCTAAAAAATCCCAAAATACATTATGTTTTTATTCACAAAAAGAAACTTAAAAAAAGTAACATCAGTCAAGTGTAGCAATCCACGCACTCAGGAGGCTGAGATAATAGGATCTCCAGTTCAAGGCCAACCTTAACACTGCAAGGCATGGTCTCTAAAGAACTTACATGCATACATCATACACACATGATATGTGCATACATACATATGCTCACAACCAACCAGCCCAAACTGAGAATGTCATCTACATGCCAGGATCATGTGAAAGACATCACTTTGGGATGCCTTCTCTGCCATGCATATGCATAGTGATTGTGGTTTCTTTTTTAATGGTCCTCAGAGGACCTACCAATCCCACAGTGTCCGTCTAGTCCTTCACAGATGGGAAGATTCACTTCTCAGACGTTAGTTATTCATTCCTCCAGTTGCCCTGAGGCTTTTTTTTCTGAAATGAATACATTTTTCTGGCTTCATGGGAAGCATGGTTTGTGAGCTACCTACATGTATAAAAACCACTGTGTACAGCTGCTTTCATGAATGAAGTTTCCATTATGAAATAGATTATATAGACAAATACAGACTTGGTTTTATGAAGCATATAATTTAACCGAAGTAGAAATATCAACACATGGGAAGCTGTTAAAGAACAATTCAATGGTAACTTGGATTACATCCTCTATATGCCATGATCACAAAGAATTTATATTTTTATAAGGTTGTGGCCATTGACTGCTACCGGTACTATTGTAGTCTTTTAAGGGCTGATTTGCATTTACACTTACCATTTTGTTTGTTTGTTGTTGTTTGCTTCAGGTTTGCCCTTTTTTGAAGTAGGAAGTCGTTGATTCCAAGGTCTTAGGTGTCATATGTCAGTTTCCAGTAGTCCAAATGTCTTTTTTTGGGGGGGGGTCCGGTTGTGGGGCCTGAACTCTGGGCCTGGGCGCTGTCCCTCAGCTCTTCAGCTCAAGGCTAGCGCTCTACCACTTGAGCCACAGCGCCACTTCCGGCTTTTTTCTTTTTGCTTATGTGGTGCTGAGGAATCGAACCCAGGGCCTCAGGCATGCAAGGCAAGCGCTCTACCACTGAGCCACCTTCCCAGCCCAAATGTCATATTTATTTTTAAAAAATCAAGGTACCCAAAACTTCTCCATCTGATTAGCCAGCCTACATCGCCTGAATTAGAAGACAAACCTCTACAGTTTCCAGATTATAAAGTAAAAGGGAGCAGCGCCACCTCTGCACAAATTTATTAGATGTGTCTATTAGAATACTATTCTCTCCTTTCCCCCAGCAAAGTTTTTTTTTATTTTAGAATTCAAGGGAAAGTAGAGAGTATGAAGAATAAAAAGGTTATCTGTCTACTATGAGATAAGGGATCATTCCTGAGGCAGTGGGGGCGGCTGACATCTGAGTTGTCAGATGGTTACTGAGTTAGAGTTGTGTGGTTTGCCAAAAACAGTAAAACATACCACCTAACACAGAAATCACTTCTCACAGCCTCTGATAAGGTCCGAGTGCACCTTTAATTTGTCATGCCATGCTCCGAAAAAATGATAACTGGTAGTAAAATTGAGATTATGCTGTGTTTTTAAATTCTTTTGAGTTACAGCGATAGGTTCAGCAAATTTACTTATGCCAAAATCAAGCTTTGCACAGTCAGATGTGGATTTGAGTCCAAGCTTTTCTACACTGCTCCTGAGCAAATAACTTAGAATCTCAAATTTGTTTTCTCCCTCTCCATATTATGAGTAATATTTGTTTCCTCAGGGTCAATGATGACATACATATATCGTAACATCTCTGGTAATGTTCAGATTTCCTTAAGTTTGATAAAGATCTCAATTGGTAAACTCCTCCTTTTTATTTTTATGTCAAAGAGAGAGAATATGAGAAGGTATGTAATTCACTTTTTGAAGCAATTCCCCATTCCTGTCTTCATCCCTAAACAATTATATGCCATTTTGTGAAGATAAGTGGTTCTTATTTGCCATTCTCCTGTCTTCTGTGCTTTAATGCAATGGGTTGTGTATTTGTAACAATCTTTACATGCAGATAATTAATTGATTCCCAGTTTTCTTTCAGGTAAATGTTGGAGATATAGTTATAATAAAAGGCAAAGAGTATATACCTGCTGACACTGTACTTCTCTCATCAAGGTAGAGATACCTACTGATGCTCAAACAGTGTAGAGGACAGTTTCTCTACCCTGCATTGATCTTGTGATTTCTCCAAGGAAATAAGGAATAAACGAAGAATTTCAAACCTCTCTGTTTCTTAATCAAGCATTCAAAAATTGGACTTAAAGGGATCTCTCATGATTGCCATATAGAATAAGTAAATTGGTGTGATGTAATTCAAAATTCAGTCTTCTCTTTCTCTCAATGTGGGCAGATCTGTGTGTGTGGACCCCTAACTGTCTAAGATTTCCTGTCACTTAGTTTCTATCCATGGATTGAGTTCTATTAATTTTTATCTTTCAGTCCGTGTCCATCATAAATTCTTTTATGATGTAATCATCTATCTCTGTAAAGTTTCCTGATCCTTGGGGTGAAATGGTAGAAGAAAATGGATAAGGGATTTATTTTTGTCATCGTACCTTTTCAAATGTCATATTCTTCCAACCGAAAAAAAGTGCTTTGCTCTTTCTTCAGTGCTTTCTGTTACTGAATTTAGATAATTTTGTTCTGCTCAGATTTAAGAGAGTCGTGAGTTAGTATTCAGAAACATATGGCATAGTTACCCTTTAAAGAATGTGATTTTTCAAGTGGTTTTAGGTTTAAAAACTGTAAAACTAGTCCTACTATAAATTACAAAGAAATGTTTTTAATATCTTAGAGGTTGTTTATCATCATTTCCTTGGACAGTTTTATTTGTAAAAATCCACATATAAATATGGACAGTGTCCTTTTTTCAAAACTTATTTAATCAGGTCATGATCTAAAGTGATTGGAATTTTGACAAATTTGTGCAATTTAATGAGAAAACAAGTCTTATTATTTATATATTTTGACAGTACTTGGATTTGGAGAGTTATTTATAGAAATAAATAACAGGTTAATGAAATAACCACAGGTGGTTATATTTTCTATATTTTATAATCGGTACCGTTTGTGCCATATATAGAAAATGGTTCTTTTGGGCAGAAAAATAATTTGAGAAACAAATATGGATGGTTTTATACTGGAGCTTGAACTAAAACCTCAAGCGCTCACTTGGCTTTTTCTGCTACAAGCCTCTACTTTCAGCTTTATGGTGGTTTATTGGAGATAACAGTCTCACCAACTTTTTTTTTTCTACCTGGGCTGGCTTCAAACTGTGATCCTCAGATCACAGTTGTTAATATTACAGGAGTGAGCCACCAACCAACATGTGGCTCTTAAGGGATTATCACATTACTTAAGTCTTTGAAAACTACTTTAATCCTAAAAATTAGTTTTTAAGTCATTTAACAGAAAGAGAAATTTTGACATTGTTTTCTATTTAGTCACTAAACTGTAGCTAATGATTAAGTCAAGGTTGGAAAACTAAAACTAATTATTTTCATTATGCCACACAGTCTGCTGCCAAGATAATTACACTGTGGTTATCACCTGCAAGCATGAATTAGCAGTAAGAATTTTGAAAAATATTTATTATACTTAATTTCCATTTTTATTCAATTACTAGTTATTAGTTATATATCTTCAGTAAGGTAGCTTGAAATTAAAGCATGAACATGGTTGGAAGGAAGTTACTATGTCTTACTGATTTTTATGAATACACTGAAATATTAGCATAGAACAACCAATCCAGTAATGTGTTGAGTGATAAAATAAATTACTCAAGCTATTGATTCAAGTCTAGGTGTATTTTTGGCATGTCTATTTTGCACATTCCCTGAAAATTTTTCTGGAGATTCATACTTAGCTCCTGCCCACCAGAAAACCCTCACAGTGTATTACTTGGATTTTATTAATTACTAAATATCTCTTAAGGCTTTAATTATGCCTTCTAATATCCCAACAATCTTCTTTCTTCAGCTTTCCACTTAATCCAATAAGATACTTACACAGTTAACATTGAAAATAATTTAGAATGAGAACGTGTGTGTGTGTGTGTGTGTGTGTGTGTGTGTGTTGGTACTGGGGCTTGACCTCAGGGTTCAGCCACTGTCTCTTAGCTCGTGTGTGTGTGTGTGTGTGTGTGTGTGTGTGTGTGTGTGTGTGTGTTGGTACTGGGGCTTGACCTCAGGGTTCAGCCACTGTCTCTTAGCTCCATTTCTGACTTTTTACTGATGAAGTGGATATAAGATTTTCACAGACTTACCTGCCCAACTAGGCTTCTAACTCTGATCCTTAGAATTTAGCTTCCTGAGTAGCTAGGATTACAGAAGTGAACCACTGGTGCCCAGTTAGAATCAGAACATTTTCAAGTATCTTAATATTTGGGAGGAGTCTGGTGGAAGCAGGAATCGTTAGTGTAATACACTTCGTTTTCAAGTGTCTAAAAATTAGATGCAACAGTTATTTCTTGGCTTTTTGGTAGAAATGGACATACTATGCATAGCAGGTTGAAGAATTAGAAAAAGGGAAATCTGCAAGAGAAAGTAGCACTCTTCGTAAAACATATTGAACATAAACATTTGAAGTATTCTCATTAGAAAATGAAAGTTGGTCTTAAAAGCAAAATAAGCAATCCTTAAATATTCAGTATTTTCTTATACATTTCAGCCTGATCAAAATAAGTTTTGAAAAAATTAACACTAGACATTTTTATTAACATGTATTATTTTCTATAATAATTTCAATCTTCTGTCTCTTTTGTCCATTTGTTTGTTTGTTTTTTCTCTCTGTTATTCATTTTCCCCCATTTTAATTATTTTACACTGGGACATGTAGGTGGCAGTAGGGGAAATAGTCAAAGTGACCAATGGGGAACATCTCCCAGCAGATCTCATCAGTCTGTCCACAAGGTTAGAACCATGGAGCTGTACAGGATGTGTGTATGTGGGTCCTCACCCTAAACCAGAGAGCCATTGCACCCAAATATGCTTGAGACCTGTCTCTGTCACTTTTTATACTTTGTGATAGATCTTTCATAGATGTTTTAAAGGTATTTAATGAATCCCATATGGGTAAAGTTTGTCCCTCAACTGGGTAGATTTCAACTCCTATTGTTTCCAGTGGGAGTCTAAGAGGTGTGCCCAGTAAAGGTAGATGGTATTTCCAATACATCATTAACATGTATATTCATATTTTACAACATGCTTCAGTATAGGCTTAACTTATTACATCTCCAGGGTATTGTTTTGAACAGCTTAAGCTTTTTTTGCAATAGTCATTGAAAAGTGATGACGTGTTAAGCCTGTCTTCTTATTCTCATCTAAAAGATGAGTTCTACAGAATCCTTTCCACGATTATAATTGTAATTTGGGCTTGGATAGGGTTTATAGAGGACCCCCTGCACAAAGCTGGCTGTTGTACATTTTTGTACCGCATGCTTCGGGATCACTCCTTATCCCACTTGTAACTCGTGACAAAGTGCACGTTATTGTGATCAATTCCAAGCTGTCTACTAGTGTCTGTGTTGTGATTTGCATCTCGTTTCATTGTTTCTTTTTCCACTTACTAATCAAAAAGCCTGCTTTGCCTCTTGGACTGTAGTTTGTGTTTTGGATGTCATTGTAATTTGCTGAAACATTTTTGATCTAGCATGATTCTTGACTTCCTGCTACCTTTTTGCAGCTCTGTTAAGTACTGCTTCAGTCACAGCTATCTTCAGTGATATATTAAGAATGTTCTGAGTCTCGATGTCATTTTTATTTGCCCCACTTCAAAGAGAAGTCCCTCCATCGAAAGTTCTAGACAAGTTGTTTTGTGGGGGAAACAAAACAGGAAATGTTACTCTCCATAGGAGACTGGCCTTGGATATATACATTTATCAGTAAAAATATAATGTATTTTGCTGTAAATATATGGACTCAGTATTGTCATTTTGCATTTTACTTTTCATCATATTATCTGAAAAGAATATTTTAAATTTTGTAAACTACTTCTATTTTATATGTATATGTATTTATGCATGTATATATACATATGAAAATTACAAGTTTGAAACAATTATCGCAGTAAAAATTACCACTTGAGAGTGACTTAAAGATTAGGGTTTTTGAGTAATAATTGGCAGGGTGAAATTATTAATATTAGAAGATGACAGTTGAAGGGAAAATTACCAGCCTTTATAAAAGAAAGCTCATGGAGCAAATGGAAGAACTGACAGTTACTATAAAATGAATCTCAAAAATATTTGATTAATGTTCATGTGTTTAAGTGATTTTCACGAATCTTGGGGGCACAAAATTAAGCTAAATACCAATTTCTGAAACCTTAAATAGTCTGTTTTGCACATGTACAAATTGGAAGTTGATTAGAAAATTCCTAGTGTTTCTGTCTTGCCACTATTTTTCCTTCTAACTCCAAGTGCCCATACTTAGTAAGAATTATATTCAGAGTACCCTATGTGATGTTAGTAAGATAGGATTTAACTGAAGTACTAATGAGATTGGTTTAACCTCAAATTGCTTTTCCATGCAACTGAGAATCAAATTATATAGTAAACTCATAAGTGCAGGGCACATAAAGTCAGCATGGGAAGGAAAAGAATGTCAAACAGTTTAGGCTGACATGCTGATGATAAACTAGAACTGCACACCAAAGTTTGCTTTTCCATTCTGGTAGAGATGCATGGAGTCAATTTTCTATGTTCGGGGCAACCTAGATATTGACCAATTGGGCCAATTTTCACTTGATTTTTTTCCTGCCTCAAGAATCACTCAAGGAGAGCAGGAATGGAACAAAACCAAGGGAAAAACTTGTATATCCAGTTTTACTGTAATATATGTCCATGCAGCTTTTCAAAGTAGCCTTAAATTTTTAATGTTACATGGTCCATATGGCCCTGTTTATCCTCACTAAAAGGGTAGATAGAGGATAGAGGAGTAGGCAAGTTTGTGGCAGTGGCCATCTGGAATTTTCTAATCAACCACTTTCATAACCAATTTACATGTGGGCCAGGAGCATGGAAATCTCATTTGGTATTTCAGAGCTAAAGATAAATTTGGACACAAAACTGCTTTACATTTCAAATACAGTCTGTGTTGTGTCTATATGGATGAGCAATTTAAAAATAATGTGACAGATCTACTCATTTCATTATCTTGAAAACCATTACTAAGTATTGTCAGGAAATTGCTTTTGGGTCCTTCTGGCTGGACAGCTGGTCCATGACTTGTCATGCATGGGTTTTGCCTCATAGCATCTTGCTATTAGAATGAAAATCTTCAAGAAGCTAGGTGACTGTAGCTTTGTTTAGCACAAAAGCTTCAGCTTTGGTGAGTGAGCAATCAAATAAAGTATTGTTATTATTCTTCTGTCCTTCCTTCTCTCACTAAATCTCTTCTTCTTCTCAATTCTAAACGACAGTGAGCCCCAGGCCATGTGCTACATTGAGACATCCAACTTAGATGGTGAAACTAACTTGAAAATTAGACAGGTACGTTTAATAGGAGTTCATATCATCATTGCTGTTTTATTGCATGCAATCAGTAGCTTTGTTAATGGTTTTATTGTCTTGAGCTGAACAAATTCTGCTCAGTTACAACTATTCTCTGTCTCGAGAACTGGTCAAGTATTATAGAACTCAGATTTACTTGCCTTAAAAGTGGTCCATCACATAAATACTGTTTATAATATTTTTATTATTTTATGTAATAGCCAATACCCAGATGATTCTAAGTGCTTTGACACTGGTATGTACGATTAGTAGTCATTCTAAGTGCATTGACAATTGCTAGCTTATTTATTTTTCCTATTTACCTGGCCCAAATTATTATTTGATTTTGCCATATCAGGAAACTCTAGCATACTTTGCTATTCTATAACTCATTGATCTTTAAGGATTTAGATTACTTTAGATTTCTCTACTTCACAGAAAAGAACTGTAAGGCTTTTATTATTCAAGTTTAAAGGGGGAGTTAAAGTTAAGCCTCAGTGTTTCAAAGTGTAATCATAGCTACTCAGGAGGCTTGAGGTTAGAGGATTATGGTTCCAAACTAGCCTGGGCAGAAAAGTCCATGAGACTCCCTTTCCAAAGAAACCAGCAAAAACCCAGGCCAGAGGCATGGATCAAACGGTAGAATACCAGCCACACAAGCAAACAAGCCAAACAAGAGTGTGAGACCTTAAATTCAAGCCATGGTACTAGCATGAATGAATGAATGAATGAACACATTTTATGTGTATGCACGTGCGGAAATGTGTTCACGCGCGCGTGCGCGTGCACACACACACACACACATGCACACACCTTTGGCATCTTGATGAATGAGTAGAAATGTCATGGAAGGAATGCCCTAGGAAGAGAGGTTGTGTTCAGTGGCAGCCACTCCTAGGGGATGTTTCCCGACAACCCCCCGCCCCAGGAAGGGAGAGGAGAAAAGGAGGGAAGGCAAACAAAACTGCTTCTGAACACAGCCTTTGCCCATACTTTAGCCTTTGTTCAGATTTAGCAGGCAGACTGAGACTCCATAATACCAAGTATTAACTTTTTTTTTTTTTTTGCTAGTCCTGGGGCTTGAACTCAGGGCCTGGGCTCTGTCCCTGAGCCTCTCTGTGCTCAAGGCTAGCATTCTACCACTTGAGCCACAATGCCACTTTCCAGCTTTTTCTCAGTAATTTATTGAAGATAAGAGTCTCATAGACTTTCCTGCGTGGGCTGGCTTTGAACTGGGATCCTCAGATCTCAGCCTCCTGAATAGCTAGGATTATAGGCATGAGCCACTGGTAAAGTTAGGAACCTGTCTAATTTTTTTTTTTAAGTAAACTTGTTGATAGTTACTATAGATCTTTCTCAAAAGCTATTATGATTGGAAAGAGAGTGGTTGTGTAAGGAGAGCAAATGACTCATGAAATAGTGGGACCCCTTAGAACCTAAGACTTGGGTGAATCTACTGCCTCAATGCAACTTATTTAATGTACTCTTCGCTTATTTAAAAATGTGAACAGGGCTTACCAGCAACCTCGGATATCAAAGACATTGACAATTTGATGAGAATTTCTGGCAGAATTGAATGTGAAAGCCCAAACAGACATCTCTACGATTTTGTTGGAAATATAAGGCTTGATGGACATGGGTATGTAAACCATTCATGACATTCACCATGTCATGAATGTCTTGCAAGTCTGACTGCATACTATATTCTTCTACTCCAAGATGGACCACTCGAAACCCTTGTTTTAACCATGTATATATTCCAACCCGAGTCTTTTTGTGAAAACACTAAATCATAACCCCATTTATGTGGCATAGCTGAAGTCTTTCCCAGGGTTCTTGCCAATCTGTCAAGTGGATATTTTTAGGGATATTTTAGGGCTTACAGCAGATTGTTCAGTTTGTAAATAATCTGTGGTTTATTCTTTGACCAAAATACTGCTTATAAGCTTTAAGTGTCTAATCTCCATGGCTGCGGGTCCTTTTGTATGGTTTCCAGATGTCCCAATGAGTTTAGGATCTAACCTCAAGAGGTTCATTGTATTGGACAATTTCTTATCTCCTTTGTGTAATTCTATAGGCTGTCTTGTAGGCCATGTTATCATCTATAGTCACCTTTTGTTCTTACTGATTCCTGTCTTTCTCTCCTTACCTCTTTTCTACCATTTCCCTAACTCTTCCCTCATTCATTCAGCCAGAATTGATTATGTACCTAGTGGGCCAGGCCATTAATAAATGGTAAGGAAGCAACTATGAACAAAGCAGATAAATATGCCACCTCTGTGTCTTTACTCGTTCAGGTTGCTTTAATAAAATTCCTTAGCTAGAAGTTTTGTGAATACTTTAAATTCATTGTTCACAGTGTTGGCAGATGCAAAGTCCAAGTTCAAGACAGCAGCACACTTGAGCTGGTGACCTTCTGCTCATAGATGGAGCCTGCTTTGTGTTCTTTCATGGCAGAGGCCCTCAGTCCTCCTGTATAAGAAGGACATACATTCTGTTTGTGAGGGCAGAATTTTCATGACTTAGTCACTCCCTAACCCAACCTCTTAATATCACTATATTGAGAACTAGGTTTCAATTTATAAATACAGGATGGGTGGGGAAACTAACATTTAGTCAATGGCATCCTGTGAGCTGTATACAAGGGAAGGGCAAACAGACAAACAACTAAGTGTCCATGAGAAAATTCAACCTTATATTAGAAAACAAAACTTCTTTGGAAAAGAAGATAGAGTAAGCAACCTGAGAACTCCTTGGGAGAAAATACATTAATTAGACGGTTAGGATAGTTGAAGTGGACTTCGTTGAGAAGATGGCATTTGAGCAATGTTGAGTAAGAGGTGAGGAGCTTAACCTTGTGAATGTCTGCAAGAGGATTTCACACAAAGGAAATAGTAAAAGTTATTAATGATTACATAATACTAAAGTGAGAAAATGCCTGGAATAAATTTGCAATGATAGTGATGTGGGTGGAGTAATGTGATCAATAAAAAGAGTAATAGAAGAAAGGAAGAATAGTAGAAGAAAGGTCAGTAGTGGATAACAGTGGACCAGATCATGTAAGGCCTCGAAGGCCACTGTGAAGGTATACAGTGAGTAAAATGGACATCCATGGGAAGGTAATAAGGAAGGACAGTCACTAGTTTAGTTTTGGACTCACTAAATCTACAAAGTCCAGGAGGCAGTTGAATATATAGGTATAGAAGTCTCTTAGCATTGATACATTAAGTCTATGGAACTAGAAAAAACCATTGAGGATAGAGACAGTAAAGTTAGAAAGCCGAAGATGGTTCTAAGACTGACAATATTAAGAAGTTGAGAAAAGAGAAGGGTCTATTAAAAGAAATGAAGACCATGTTTGTGGTAGGGAAACGAAGAGAGAGTGAAGAAAGTACCAGGATTGCAGGGGGTGGGGGGTTAGGGGGGTGGGGAGGAGACTACAATGAGTCAGATATTGCAGATAGCCAAGTACACTGTAGTTGAACATTAATGATAACATTACAAGTAGAAATCTTGTACCTTGATCAGAACAAGTGGAGCTTGATGAGGGTAAATTTGGAATCTTGGAACAAGTCTTCTTATTCAAGGAGTTTTGTTTCAAAGAGTAAAGAAATGAGGTATAACCTAGCAGAAAGAGTAGGACCTTTCTTGCCTCCTGTCTTGTTTTCTCTCTTCCAACTTTCCCTTCATTGCCAGCATGCTCTCCAATATATCCATCTACCAGACATTTATAATGACCAGCTTAATGTTATCTAGATAGGTGCATTAGTTCACCCAGCCTTGGAGAATGTCATTGGTGCTTTCATTATTTCGTGATTGCATTATTGGACATTTGAAGGATACTCTGAACTGTTGTCTTTATTTGAATCCACCAGAAGCTTTCTCATAATCTTTGATGTAATTATTGTTCTAAAGTTTGCTCAGAGTGATCTTTCTCTGAACATATGGTTATACACTAATGATAGATTGAACCATTTACACAAGTAATATTTCTTCAGTCTGACATTCGTAATTGGCCAGCTTCCATTTCTTACCAGTTCCCCCTAAATTGATGCCAAATTAATCCATGCTGTGAAGGAAAAATTTTGTGTAGTGGTGCCAAGATTTAGGATACAGATACCATTTATGTAAGGTGCTTTATTTTACAAGAAGGTGGAAGTAGCACATTTGGCGTTGACAGTGATTACTCAGTATTCTTAGAAACCATTTGGAGTGAGAATACTTTGATTACTTCAAAGATAAGGATCATTGCCTAAAGCCAGACAAGCTTTGGAATTCCATCTGCGAAGCAAACTAACAATAACTTCTTTAGCCCTAGTAATTAAAAAGTAGCATATTTCACTTTAGAAAAATTGATACCTATTTCCATGCAATCCACAACACCAATGCTGTTGGTTATAGTAGGTTGGGGCAGTGCTCAATGATTTCTCAAGAACTTCGTGGAAATCTGCTTTGCAACAATGAGAAGTACAAGTTGTCATGTCGAAAACGAGCTTTACAACGTCGGTGGGGGGCGCGGGGGGGAGGGGGGAAGGAGAAGGATTGGGATTGGGGGGAGGGGGGAGGCTGGGAAGGGATGTGAAAGGTAAACAAAGGAGGAGGCTGCAATGCTTGGTAAGAAATGTACGCATTATCCTGCCCGTGTAATTGTAACCCCTCTGTACAGTATGTTCACAAATAAAATTAAATTAAATTAAAAAAAAAACCACAAGGCCCCGTCCAACTCTGAAATGTACCCCAAATCTTAAGACATATATAAGATTGATATTTCTAAAAGGCCATGGGTTGGAAGCTTGGTCCTCAATGTACTGGCGTTAGGTTGTAGCTCTATTAAGATCTCCTTCAGAAAGGCTTAATGGCTGTTTTCCTGGAGTCAGGGAATAGATTTGCTATTTCTAGTCACTGTCCCATGCACTCCCACAAAGTGATGCCACTCAGATATTACAGTGTCGCAACACACTGTGACCTTGGACAAGTCAGTCATGGAGATGGATTGTGGAATTGAGGTTTGGGGCACCAGGGGCCTGAAGCTTTTCACCAGCTTCAGATGTCCAAGGTCCTTTTTACAAGGTATTTATTGAGTAGGGTACAGGGGTGTGTGTACAGAAAGTGAGGTATGGTATTCTTGAAGTCACAAACATCCATCATGTGATACAGTCTTGATCAATATCCTTGAAGTCACAAGCACCAACTTGTGATATAATCTTATGCTAGTGATAAAGGGCTTCCTTATCTTAGGAAGTAGTGGTAAGCAGTAAATGACTTACAATTTGCACAGGCTTTTGTCTATCCCCAAGCTCTCAGCTGGCTTTTCAAACTCTCACATTACAGCAAATCACTAAGCCCTTGCCACGTGTAACCACTTAAGCTTGGACTTTGCAACCTCTGACACTGAATCAAAACCTATTATAGAAAGTACTTATAAAATGACCTGTCTCAAGTGTTTTTCATAGTGGCAAAATAGTCCAAGATAGGCTTCCATCCAGATGAGCCCTGAGGCATGCTTGTTGTGCCTAAAGAGGGAAAGTTGTGTCCTTTTTGGAAACTGAAATGCACTACCTTCAAAGGATACTCACTCTCCTTTCTGACTGTTGACACCAGAGCCAGTGGAACTTTGGTTATTCCTGAAAGAAGATCCCAAGCCCAAACTGCCACTGACTTCTGAAGCCTTCAGAGCCACAGAAGGCCGCTTCAGTTGGAATTCGCTGACAAATTCTATGTTCTCTGTAAAGTTTTCTTAAGGAATTTGTTTTCTTCTTTATTTACAGAAGTCTGCCCTTTTTTTGATGAGTCCTTGGCCTTGAAGGCCAGCATTCTACCACTTGAACTACAGCACCACTTCCAGCCTTTTCTGGGATTAATTAGAGATAAGAATCTCACAGACTTTCCTGTCCAAGCTGGTTTGGAACCATGATCCTCAGATTTCAGCCCCCTGAGTATAGAAGCCTTTTTAAAGTGCATTTTCAACTATTTTACTTTTATTGTTATTAAAATGAAGGTTAGATCATAAGAATTCTTAAGGCCATTAAATTTTATATGTTACATTCCTATCAAATAACCCAATATATCTATGATAGTATTATACCTGTCTTATTTCTCCAATAACCTATTATAGAGGCAAGACAGATAACCCACAAAAGATCCCGTTTGACTTTTCTTCATGAATAATGTGGTTGAAAGTATAGGATAATAAATGCTTCGAAATGCTTACCATTCATTGGAAATGTGTTTCCAATTCTCAGAAAACTGAATGTCATAGGTAAAGGGGCTTGTCTTGGGACAATGCAAGTTTTATGTTGAAACCTGTGTGTTTTTATCTAGTGTATTTTGAACATCTGTAATCTAGAATGCTTGTTTTAATTGGAAGGAAGTAAGGAATCCCTTAGCCTCACAACTTCAAAAACAAATTTTTTGTCAGTTGTAGGGCTTGAATTCTGGGCCTGGGCACTATCCCTGAGCTCTTCAGCTCAAAGTGAACACTCTACAGCACTTAAGCCACAGTGCCACTTCTTGTTTTCTAGTGGTTAATTGGAGATAAAAGTCTCATGAATTTTCCTTCCAGGGCTGGCTTTGAACCCCGATCCTTAGATCTCAGCCTCCTGAGTAGTTAGGAATACAGGCAAGAGCCACCAGAACCCCCCTACAACTTTAAACTTTTTAGAAACCTAAATTTGTATCTTAATTCAAGAAAAGTAACAAATAGGTTGAGAATTAGCCCTTGAAATCACTAAACTTTTTTCTGCAAATATAGCATATTTATTTGCTCAGGCTTCAAATACAATACACCATACATAAATAGATGGCTTTAATAATAGAAATTGATTTTTCTGGAAATGAAAGACCAGGGTAACAGCATGATCAAATTCTGATGAAGGCTACCTTTGTCTGGCAAAAGATGTCTTCTTGATGAATCTTAACACAACAAAAATAAATCTCTCTAGTGTCTCTTGGCATACAGGCACTACTCCTATCATGAAGACCCCACCCGCATGTCCTCTTCTATATCTGTTCATCTCTCAAAGTGGCATCTCCAAATACCATCACATTGGCTTCAGCATGTAAATATTTGAGGCCAGGGGCACATTCAGTCCCACACTTCAAATATAAATTATGGGAATTATTAACAAGAACCAACCTAACAACTTTCTAAAAGAAATTCCTCATTAAGAAAATTATTCTTTTCGATAAGAAATTTACTTTCTTTCCAAAAATAAAATAAGTTGTAAGACGGGCTATTTTGGAACTATATAGTGGCTGTGCTTCCCTTGTGCATTTCAGAAAATGTCATTCCTAATGTCAACATAATCTTCCCTAGCACCGTTCCCTTGGGAGCAGATCAGATTCTTCTTCGAGGTGCTCAGCTGAGAAATACTCAGTGGGTTCATGGAATAGTTGTCTACACTGGACATGACACCAAGCTGATGCAGGTGGGAATTGTTAGCAAATGCTTTTGGGCTTACGACTTTTATAAGTGTATTATTTGTAGCTCTAGGTTTAATCCCAAACAGGCCATCTGTTATGATTTCTGAGCCCCACTCCATCTAGAATTTGATACTTCAGTGGGAAAGATTTTGAAATTCCCTCTAGGAGAAGGACTCATTGCCAACAGGAGCACTAGAATCTTGCACCAGAAGTCATCCATTACGTGTGCTTTGAATGATGGTGTGTGTTGGTCTTTTGACAGTGTCCTTTAACTCTTGGTGATCTTTTCAAGTAGTCTGTGTAACAATACATGCTCTCTTGAATGCTACCAGAAAGTTTGAAAAGCAGAAATCCTTTCGATGTTGCTTTACAACTTTAGGATTTCTAGGAGTCATGGGTGCTAGGCCCTCCTCTCTGCTATTGTCTTCCAGCAAAATCCCTTGAAACTCAGTTGTTCGATATAACCTTTCTCACTTAAGTAGCCAAGCTTATTTTATTTGTCATAATGTCACTAAGAAGAATATTACTTTCTTCTCTTCATTTTTAAATAGCATTTTAAATCCCACAGAAATCTTTAGATGGTGTAGTAGTCTTAAGAAGAAATGGGCAAACATTGACACCTTGTTACACTTTTCATGGGTTTTCCGTAATATTTATATGTATATCCTTGTTTAGATAATGAGTAGTAACGTCATCAGCCTCATCAAAGACTAGACGCACATTCCTAACGTGTTTCTCTACATTTTTTACTACTTGTTTCTTCTTACAGAATTCAACAAGTCCACCGCTTAAGCTCTCCAATGTGGAAAGGATCACAAATGTACAGATTTTGATTTTATTTTGCATCTTAATTGCCATGTCTCTTGTCTGTTCTGTGGGTTCAGCCATTTGGAATCGGAGGCATTCGGGAAAAGACTGGTATCTCAATCTAAACTGTAAGCAACAAAGTGATGACTTCACTTACTTTTTCCATTTTTTGAAATGTGTTCTTGTTCCCCAATTGATTGTGGTTAGTTTTATAAAATGTCCTGTTGTTCTAACAAAGAAGATACTGTTACTAAGATAACTGGACAATTTAATCTTTATTTTTTCAGTGAGATTTCCTGACTAGAATTCTAGTATCTCTAAATTTCAAAGTCCTTTATAGTAATATAAAGTATTCAATATATAAAGCTATTCATATGATATTCATTTTTAAGAGCTAGTTTTTAAACACATTTTTAACACAAGTGATTAGCTGTTAAAGCAAGTAGATTGTGTGTGTGTGTGTGTGTGTGTGTGTGTGTGTGTGTGTGTGTGTGTGTGTGTGTGTATTATGTATCTACGTACCAGAAAGTAGCTTACATGCTTTATAGATGCTTGAACTGATTATACTTTGATTTGCACTTGGTAGTAGAGAGTCTGGTGTTAATGCCATCAGGTTCCAGAGAAAATGTTATTAAATGGTTTCCTTTGAAACAGGTATCATAATGCTGTGCAATATTAATGTACCACCCATGGGTATCAAGTGAATTTAATTTCCATTTGATGAATACTTAGCCAGTAAACACTTAATTTCCCAGATGTGTTAAGTCTATTGTAAAATCTTAGAGCAAAAACTTATTCTTAAAGTTTTTTTATTACATTTATTTAACTGTTATAACGTTAAGGCTTTATAGTCATTGATTCAGTATTTCAACATAAAAAGTGCTGGTACTACCATCACTTTGTTTCTTCATATTCTTTATGGTATATCAGGCATGTCCAGTTTATTTTCCTTATTGGGAGGGAAGACTTGTTTACCTAGGAAAATAGTTTACCTGTGGATGGATGATGTTCATACAATCTGGATTGTTTTTGCTGCTACTGTTTGATTACTTTAATAGCATGCTTTAAGAAATGCTTTTCAGAATTCATATGGATGTGATTCTATTCCATTGAAAATTTGCTTTTACACACCTTCAGTCCTACCTCTAATATCTCTGAACTTCCTAGTGCTTGGTAGTTCTTTCAGTTTTCAGTACCATTATGCAACTCCTAATAATTGGATTAACAATATATTGAATGCCAGTACTACTGTTTCTCAGTGTCCTTGGGAGATTGGTTGTAGGACACCTTGAGGATATTAAGACCCACAGATGCCCAAGTCTCTTCTGTGAATTGATATATAACTTGCATATAACCTACACACATCCTCCTACAGACTTTAAATCATCTCTAGATTGCTTAATAGACTTAATACAATGCACCAGCTAAAATAAGTACTGTTTATTTACACAGTATGATTTAGGGAAATGACATAGGGAAAAAGTCTACATGTTCAGCACAGGCACATAGTTTTACTTTATACTTTCAGTCTGTGGTTGAACCCACCAGAAACAGAGTTCTATTTTGAAGAATGGGTTTGATAATTACATATTAAGAAAAAGTAGAAAACTTTTTATTCAAGTATTTGTACAAACTAGTTGCCATTCAACAAAGTACTTTGTGAGTATAATGAATCTTCCCAATTGATCAAGATGTGCTATATAATATGGAAAGTTCTTGTTATGCTGCTTTTATCAATGCAAATAAAATATAAAACTACATATTTTTCTCTTACCTTTTCCAACAGATGGTGGCGCTAATAATTTTGGCCTGAATTTCTTGACTTTCATTATCCTTTTCAACAACCTCATTCCAATCAGCTTGTTGGTTACATTAGAAGTGGTGAAATTTACTCAGGCATACTTCATTAATTGGGTAAATGTAAATTATTGCCTATAATCTAAGCATATAGTTTCTCTTTTTTAAATAGTAAGGTCTTTTGCTATCTCAGAGGATAAAAATATCTTAATTATTCCTGCTGTTTTAAAACTACATAATGGCATGTCACCTAGTAGAATTCTAGCAAAGCCTCTCCACTCGAAATCTTACAGGTTTATAAACAGACATTTTGAAGAAAATGAGTTTCAGAAGACCTATTTTGGGATACAGCGTGATCGAACAGGAAGTTGGGTATTAAAACACCTAGATAGTGGTTCTGGTGTTACAACTTCCTCCATCAGCAAACTTTGCATGACCTTTGACTTCTTTAAAACTCTATTTTTGGTACACTAGCATACATACAGGTGATAACATCTCCCTTATCTACATCTCCCAATGGCTGTACAGAAGAAGGAACCTCTTGACATAGCATTCATAGCATTAAGCTTTGTAAACAATGAATCACTTCTACACACAGGACTGTGTTTGCAACTGGTAACGATCATTGCCTCTCATGTTTAATCATCTTTTTAGTTTATTTTTTTACACTTCTACTATGCATCAATTTTTCTTCTGATTATGTTTTTAATTTTAAAAAACCATCTTATACTCTTTAGATCTGAATAATTGATACACAAATATAACCAATGTTACCTTGTAACTTCTCACGTCATGAGGGCTAGTTTTGTAACCTTGATGACAAATGTTCCCCTAAACTGTTGGTCTCTTAACTCTCTGCTAAAATATCAAAGTGCAATTTGCAAATCTAAAATGAGCTGCAGATACACCTTCCTTCATGCAGGGATTGTGTTGGTGAGGAATCGTGTCGTGTGTGCAAACACACTTAAAGCTTACAGAAGAGTTCTTACAGAAAGGATTAGGTAATTCATGCTGCTGTTCACACAACAAACTCATCCAATTCAAATTCTTCATTTGGGTTCTCAGAAATTGTACTTAATTATAATTTTAGTTTTGGATGAAGCCAGTCCTTCTTCACCCACCCTTCTAACCTGCAGGGTTTATCACATCCCTGACAGATGGAAGACTGGCTTTCCTAACCCCTCTCAGAGGGGAGTTTCTTCCTTGTGTGGAAATGAGATTGATGATTTTTCTTCCTGTGATGCTGGTTCTACCTAAAGGACTATGAGGAAGATCTTGAATCTTGTTTCTGAATAATACCCTCATTCTATTCTTCTGTCACATCCTTTTTTCATTAAGGACACATCTCCCATCTTCAGTTGGTCTTCATTTTTGTGGTTTTCAAATTAGTTCCTATTGTAATTACTCTATGCTTTTCTCTAAATGTGGTACACTTGGATAAATTCTCTCATGAAAACATGGCACATAAAACTCAGCAGTCTATTCAAGAAGCCGATATTAATCAATTCAGAATATGTACATGAGACACAGAGTTTTTATTTCAATTTTGGTCTTCTCATTTGCTACATGAAAACTAGTAAACTACAGCCATTATTTGTCAACTCCTAATTTTCTGTTATTTGAGCTGGCACAAGTGCAGTTGTTAGTACATGACTAACATTTTCATTTTTTTAGTAAGTAGACTTTTCAATGCTAATAAAGCAGATTTTGCTTCCAGTATAAGGTACTATACAAGCCTAGGCATAACTACTACAAAATGGGCTGATTAGTCTATAACACATTAGCTATTTTTTATTTATAAGCATAGTAATATATCTGCTTGTAGCTTTCAACTAGGGAGGGAGGAAAAGACTTAAGATGTCTGACAAAATATTCTACTATAGAAAAATAGTGATTTTCTTGGATCATATGGACCATAAATAAGAACAAATATATAAATGTTGGGTTTGGCTTTTGAGAGGAACATTTGTTTTCCTTTCAAATAATGCAATATAAGAGACTTGGCCCAGAAACTATAACCAGATGGAATGTCTTAGATAATTTTTCAGGGACTTGAAGACCTAATCATTTGAATAATGTTTAGTTGCTCTTTTCCAACTCACGTCATTAAGCATTTACCGTGTGACAGACACTCTAGAAAGAACTTCACATGTGTTATCTTAATTCTTATGGTAAATTGAAAATGTTAGAATGATAGTAAACCTAGATTGCCTGACTCCAGAGATAAGCTATAATGGGCATGCTGTTTTGCCCTAATTGAGATACATTCTATATTGAGTTATCCTGAATTATTTTTTTCTTTTTATTATTATTTTTAAATAGTTTTACAGGGCTTAGAATGTGGCTTAATGGTAGAGTATTTGCCTAGCATGCATGAAACCCTGGATTTGCTTCCTTAGTACCACATAAACAGAAAAAGGCAGGTAGTGCTGTGGCTCAAGTGGTAGAGTGCAAGCCTTGAGCAAAAGAAGCTCAAGGACAGTGCCCAGGCCCTGAGTTCAAGCCCAGCAGAGGGAAAAAAAAAGTTGTACAAAGGAGTTGCCATTTATCAAAGCAGTTTCTGAATACAGTATATCTTGGTCAATGTCATCCCTTTTAACATTCAAGGAAATTAAATGACATGATATAGAGATAATAAGAACCTGTAGTAGTTACGTATATATTCTACATGTAGAATGAAGATACTAATTGTTTTCTTTCCAATTTTACCCAGTCCCTTATTTTTAGATGTATTCAATGATTTCTTTCTTTATTTAAAGGATCTTGACATGCACTATGAACCCACAGACACTGCTGCTATGGCTCGAACATCTAATCTGAATGAGGAACTTGGCCAGGTAAACTTTTACTATTACTCAGTCAGAAATTAGATTTGGTATAATTTCTAACTTAATGTGGCAAAGTCAGAGGTGCTAACAACTCTTAGTTTTCCATTATTTGAATATTTGGCGTATATACATGTGTTAGGACATGACTAACATTTTTATTTTTAATAACTGGAGATTTCAAACACTATGTAAAGAAGGTTTTGCCTGAAGGTAAGGCACTGCACCAACCTAAGCATGTCCCTTGGTACGTGGTCAGGGTATTATATAAAATATTGGCTGTTTTTGAATTATAAACACAGTTGTTCTAAGCCTTCAGCTTGAATTAAAGGAAAATGTCAAGATGCAACAGTCCAATCAAACAAGGATTTAGATTTGTGATTCATGCTACCTTTACCTATCACTCGACAGGGATGCATTCTAAAAAGTACATTGTTAGGTGAATTCATCATTGTTAAGACATGGTAGAAAATACATCAGCACACTAATGGCTGTGATGTCACTAGCCAACATAATCGTATAAAACCACGCTCATAAATGCAGTCCTTCACTGACTAAAACATTCTTATATAGCACATGACTATGTATATTTTCATAATCCATTTATATATGCTATCTGATAAAAGAATTCTTGTGATACCATTGCCATTTTCCAGCTCTTACTATTCAAAGAACATTTAGGATAGTATTATTCTTTTTCTTACCAACTCAGATGTTGTTTGATGTTCATTGTATTAGCTCATGCTGATTCTACATTGAGGAATGTGAGTAGATCTCCTAAGGTATATTTCTCTAGTTTTTCTAATACCTTAGTAGACTTTCGTACTCCTCTATAAAATAATTTTATTGCTGCAATACTAAAAAAGGTGAATATTTTCCTTGATGAATGTGTAAAAAGTAATTGATAATGTTCATTGTACCCCAATAATGGAATAGCATTGATTAAAAAATATAATTTACACTCTTAGAGAAGGAACCTCAGATCATATAAAATATTTATTGAAATAAACTCTAGGAAATGGAAACAAGAAGGTTTTTTGGTTGTTTTCTTTGTTGTTTTTGTTCCCTTTTCATTTTGTCTAGTTTGTTTATCTTTGGAAGGGTATGGAAGGGGCACAGAAATATAGTGACAAAGGGTGAATAAATGCAGCAATGGTAGTCACTGGACACTATGTTGAAAATGACTATGCAAGTTGTGGTAAGGATGGGAGGGAAAAACCGGGCGAGAGTGAGGGGAGGGATGACATTGTCCAAAAAGAAATGTACTCTGTACCGGACTCATGTAACTGTAACCCTCGATACATCGCCTTTATAATAACAATAAAGTATTTTAACAAAAATATAAGGATGCTTTCCCCTTCTACAAGTTTTATGAAATGATACTAATGAGGAAATTTTAACCTTTTTTTAGGTTAAATACATATTTTCTGACAAAACTGGTACCCTGACATGCAATGTAATGCAGTTTAAGAAATGCACCATAGCAGGCATTGCTTATGGGTAAGTTTTGTTCCCTTCTAATTAGCATATGATATACACAGTTAATTAGTGCCACTAACATGGTACATCTGGGAATTCATATTACAAGAAGGTTTAGTTTAACCTTTTTTGTTCTAGAAAGCAGCTGCTCTGTATATGTTTGGTATTGTTTGCACTGGGGATGACATGAACTAGGGAGGGTGTGGGCCAAATGGTTTTTTCAGTGTTTAAAGTGGTGGAAGATCTGCAGGGAGCCCAGCCCAGTAATGAAGAACAAATACATTTCCCTGGGCACGGAAGTCAAGAGTACAACTTCAATGAAGGAAGAAGATGCATTTAGAACTTGATTGGTTTTTGAATTAAAATGCTGTCATTTCTCTAGTGGCTACCTTTTCAATGATTTTTTTTTCTCCTGATTCTCCTCCTTTCAGTCACAGCAAGTTAAAATTGTGATGAAATGGAAAGATCTGGAAAAAAAATTGTTATGGGAATTAAGTCAGGCCAAGTGAGACAAAGGATGAATGTTTTCCCGTATTTGTGGAAGCTAGATTTGTTGTAAGGTGCTATTATTCCAGAAGCCACATTTGGAAGCTTAGAATATTGGAGTCTTTATTACACTTCCGGCAGCCAGTTGTTACAGAGGCCTGCAGCCCCCAAATACACATAACATAGCTAGGAAACAAGCTAGAGAGAAAGAAAAAAACAAAACCAATACCAACAAATCATTTCAGCTCCTATGGAGAGCTGAACTGGGATGCTATGAAGACCAGAGACAAGACAGGAGACGGGACATGATCACTGAGACACATGTGTCATGGCATAATCGTGCCTGTGCTGGTCCGGCCTACATAGGGTCCAAGCAGTGAGCAGGTCCACAGGAAATTCCCAGTCCCTGGCACTGGACTGACACTCAGTAACCTATCAGCCAAGTCCCTGCCCCTGCCTCCCTGGTTCACAGCTCACCCATCACCTGGTGATGGGTAGAGACATTTCCTTCTCCCAGCATGAAGACAAGATGCCAGACCCTGCCATTTACCATGTGGCCAAAATGGTGCTGGCCAGACCTGACCTCCTTACTTCAGATTTAGCTTATAAACTTATAAGTAAATATGTTGGGTGGTATGTAAGTGTATACAAATGTTTTGACTGAAATATGGTTGATCCGAGGGAGCTCTCAAATTGTGTAATTCCTTAGAAAGGCAAAATAAAAGCTCAGCAAAATAAAACACTAGGAGGCAGATATTCAAACGAGTGGTGTGGGGTCAAGGGGAAAAGGGTAGACGAATGAAGGGAAGAAAAGAATCCAATGTACGTCCTACAAAATTAAGGTAGGTAAGGTAAGGTGTAGATAGGAGAGGGATAGATGAGGATGTAGAAAGGGGTGACTGATCAAGATATATTGTGTTCTGTTGCACAGTAATTATACCTTAAATCAGATATATAAATCCAGTCATGAAAAATAGAGAAGCCATATTTTGAGAGGTCAGATTTTTGGAGTGCTAGTGGTGTGCAGGCAGCCAGTTACAAAGACCTGCAGCCCCAAACCAAGCTTTTAAAGACAAAGTCCACATGTTGGGTGGAGATAGGAGCAGGGCTCCCCTGGGGCTAAACAATACCATGTATTCCCCAAAGCAGGGCCCTTCTGGCTCTACCCATTGAGCCAGGTATCTGCTATTCAAACGATGGCTTGTCTCACCTCTAGGCCTGGGAGCTAGGTAGACAGCCCCCATCTCCTGGTTAGGACCAGAATGGCTATGTGAACAACAGCTCCTGGCACCTGGTGCCTGGTTGGCTATCACTCAGTTTCTCACTTCATCCGGCCCAACTGCTCTTAGGTACATGAAATCAAATTATTGATTTCCTCACTTCAGTTGAAGCCAGGCACCAGTGGCTCACACCTATAATTGTAGCTAGTCAGGAAGCTGATATCTGAGGATCACAGTTATAAGCCAACCTGGAGAGGAAAGTCCATGAGACTCTTTATCTCCATTAAAAACTTCCAAAAGAGCTGGCACGGCAGTTGTATAGCTCAACTGGTAGAACACTAGCCTTGAACACAAAAGCTCAGAGATAGTGCCCAGGGCAACAATTCAAGCCCCAGGACCAGTAAACTAAATGAATAAAAAGGTATCTTTATTCATAAACTGCTTTATAAAATAGCAACTCCTTTGTACAACTACTCAAAGATAATAATTTTTTAGAAGATGAATACAAATGGTAAAAGATTGATTAAAGATTGTGTTTTATGGGAGAAAAAAAATGGCCTTACTGATGTGAATCACTTAAATTGGGAAGATGAGGAGTACTAGGCTGTTAATGTCTGTTGTTGGGCACTGTTAGGTTTAATTAGGTAACCCAGAGGTGAATACCACATAGTATTCAGGCAAAAAGAGAAGTTTTATTCTGAATTGCTGCTCAACCATGCATAGTAGAAATGCATGACCAAAGGTCTTATCTAGGGGAGGAATAGAGGGAAGGTATGGCCAGGTATGGCCAAGTCTGGGGAAGGTGTGGCCATGCCAGATTCGGATGTGACTTCTGAGCGTCCCTCCCACAGTCCAATGAGAGGCATGACTGGGGGCAGGATGTGACCTCAGGGTAGGGGGAGGTGACTGCCTCCAGGTGTACTAGATACCCAGGTAACACAGGTACTAGGCAGAGACTTATGAAGGAGGGGGTAGGCTTCTGCACTGTGTAATATACATTAGTTATCAGATGGATGGTGATGGTTTTTGCACACATTGTAAACCCATTCCTGAATATCATTTCTACAGTGACCTGCTTAAAAGCTGATATCTTTCTTTTACTTTGTCCAGCTTTTAAGTCAATAAGGAATTTCTTCAAGTTAGTGATTATTGACTGAAATAATCAGAATAGAAACCTAAAGTACTATTTTTTTTGGAAAAAAGAAGTTTTATTGTTATTATAAAGGTGATGTACAGAGGGATTACACTTACATAAGTCAAGTAAAGAGTACATTTCTTTTTGGTAAAATGGGATCTTGCCTCATTTTTCTTTTATCAGGTTTTCAGCTAAAAAGCTACTCCTATTGGGCAGGTCTAGGAAACAGTCTTCTTCTGTTGTGTTGGTGATGTTATTATTAAGAGCTAGGAGAAGTAGCTTTGAGCAACCTCTCATTGTAGATTAAATTTTTTTTGGAAATAACTTTTCTTAACAAATAACTTTTACTTGGTGCAGTCACAGGCACAAGTTCTAATGGCTCAGATTCATCATGTGAACCTAGACTATTCCTTTGCAGATATTCCTGACTCTTTCTAATTTAATAAGGAGACAGACCAGATTGTCTTTAAGATCCTTATCCAGATACAAAGTTCTATCATGTTTACAAAAAAATCCTTTTGTTTACAAAATTTAATTGAGTATTGGAAATGTCTCAGAGTATTGTCATGTTTTCAAGAATGCTGGAAGCTATATTCAGTTAAATGAGTTGTTACATGACTTCCAGTATTCATGTATTATTTGTTTTAGCCAAGCATAATCCTGATACTGGTTTTTTTTTTCTGTTGGTCATGGGACCTTGGCACTGTCCCTCATCTCAAGGCTAGCACTCTACCGCTTGGGCCACAGCGCCACTTCTGGCTTTTTCTGCTTATGTGGTGCTAAGGAATCGAACCCAGGGCCTCATGCATGCAAGGCAAGCATTCTATCATTGAACCGTCTTCCCAGCCCCCTGATACTGTTTTTAATAAGTATTCCCTGTCCCATATTGTGATGGACAGTTTGTTAGCATTATAAAGGATTGTTGATGGTACAGGCTTTGGAGGAAGCATGGTTGTCTTCTGACCACATGCTTATACATCAGAGCACACAGCCTGTTGCCTGATTGTAGGCAGACTCCATCTACAATTGAAGTACAGAGGAGAATGATTACTGTTAGCCAGCTCTCTGCAGGGATTTTTTTTTAATGGGTACTCAGCAATTATAGGAATCTAAACCCGTCCCTAGTGGTCCCAAAACAGTGGTTAATGTATATTTAATATATAGGGCTCAACTTTGTGCCAGGCATACCCATGATTAAACCTGTTGGATTATTTGATTAGCTCTTTTTTGTGGCCTAGTTGGCAGTGAAGTGTGAATATCTTTCATATGAAAGCTTAACATATTACAATTGAGAAATCCTACTGTTGAGCATTTATGGAAGTGTCAAATTCCAGCCAATCTCCTCATGTAAAATTGCAGGTTTTATCACAGGTATTTTCATCTCCGCAATAGAGGAGAAATTCAATATTCAATGGCTGAGACTTTTGATACTATGAGGATTGTAGGACATTTTCCCTCCACACTATTATTTGCCAACAACTTAAGACTTTAATGGTCTCTGACGCTAAGAAAACCTTCTAAGAAAACCAAACTAGGATTTTTTTAATTGCTATGAAAACAAATTATATATATTTTCCTTTTCAGAAAAACAAGTTTAATATATAATATATACATATATATACATATGTGTGTGTGTATATATATATATATATATATATATATATATGAGCATGGTATAAGAAAGGAATCCTTCACATCCATCCCAGGGGACCTCGCAGAGGCAGGCAGGCACAGGACAAAGATTATTACAAGGTTTATTAGAGGGGCTGTATTTCCCCCAAGAGGGAGCACATGGCACCTGTCCCTATATAGGTGGGGAGGGAGGGAAGTGAGTGCTCAGGTCAGTCTGAGTAGAGAGAGGGAGTGGCCAGCTGTAGGGCCGGAATTCTTGGGCAGGGAGGAGCTCAGGTATGGGTGGAGCTGAGGACCAAAGGTAGTCATAATGCTAACAGTATTTTGTTTAGAAATGTATACCTTCTCTATAACTAAGAAGAAACCTCATGATTATCATAATTCTTTGCCCCACGAGTAGATGATGGCTAACCATTGGCTCACCAAGACTGGAGTCTATAATAACTAAGATAGAGTATTTACTTACTTATTTACATGCAGACCTCAACAGATGCTATCAGACTCCTTCTGTGACGGAGATTTAGTAACTAACCAAAGTTCACCTGGTTCCTACTATATCATAAAGTTCACAGTCTAATTGAGAGATTAGAGATGATAAGTAATCATACAAAGACAAACTCCTAAAGTAGTACAGGGGTCCCTGTAAGGCAAATCTTATCAGGAAGGTCTAGGAGAGGTAGTGAGATAGTGATGTTTGAGTTGAGATTTAAGAATGAATTTGATTTAAGTGGAGATCTTACTGGGCAGACTGGACAGGACTGGCATGTTCAAAGGCACACGGACACACCAGGGCTGCTGGATCAAAGGCAGATTTGCACATCACCTGCTCCCCATCTCTGCTCATCACCCTTCTAAGAGATCAAAAGCTAGGGCCCCAATCCCAGTGCAACTTGGAAGATGATTGGCACAGGGTTTGCCATCAGGATAAGCTCCCAGGACCACAGTCCTAGGACCCAATCTCGAGGTTGATCAGAAGTGACCCTGGTCTGCACTGTGCTGCAGCCTGTTTCCGTGGTGCTTAGCAGCAAGGCCAACCTCTTTTCTGGGAGCGCAGCCCACAGTTGTCTTGGTTATCCCTCCCTCCTCTTTGGCATACACAGAGAGAATGGTGACTTAAAGGGACCCTTTCTTTCCCAGTGAGCAGAGCGCTAGAGTGGATACTGCCCTGGAGGTAATTCATGTGTTGGATCTAGGGGAAGTGACCCTGGAGGGTGAGGTTCATGTCAGGGCCAGGTAGAATGAAAAAGATGAAAAGAAGAAAAAGAGTAAAAAACAAGGGGATGGACATTTAGGGAATAGAAGGATTACGTGAGGGTTTGGGGGGTATTTTTTTAAGCAAAATTTATTCTATATTCTTCAGAATGGTGACCTTTCATTTGTACTCAGGACTGCATCTTTAAAATTTCAACTTACATCTAATAAGTTATTTTAAAAGATTATGAGTAATCCTAAATAATGAAAGAAAAGATTAATAAGACAAATTTGCTCTGACATGAACTACTGTCTGCTTGACATGAAATATATCAAATGAAGTAGTGGGTAAATTTAAAGTGTTGAGGAGCACATTTTTGTTTGAGATAGAGAATGGATTAATGAGTGAATTGACATTTAAGTGAACATTTTTGTATACCAGTTAACCTTTTAAGATGTGGCTTTATTTAATCACAGACATGCAATTAACCTTTATTTTTATGTATCTTTTTAAGGAATTATTGTTTCATGGTAGCTAAAGTTCCTTCTTAAAAATGTATTTATTGGCAAGTTTTATTGGTGTGATTGTTCCTTAGGTATTAGCATATTGGCTTTGATTAAAACATTTTACTCTGGTTATGAGACACACGTGTTTAGTTTCCATTGGCTTTAGTGCAAATTTAAGTTGCTAAGTTTATTATTGAACCTTGAATTCTGTGCATAAAAATCAGTGAATTTTGTACTGACTGAAAGGCAAATTGGTCATCCATTTATGAGCTGGATAATGTCATATAACTTAATTACCATAATCCTTCACGTTCTACTTACAGTACTAACTGTCATCCTTTTAGACCCAACTAAAAGTTCATTTCTTTACTTTTTCAGAAACCCACCTTTCAGTACTACCCTGATTCATGGTCTTTTTTGTTTGTTTGTTTCTCCCAACTTTTCTGTGATTACTTTTCCCTTTTTTTCTCTTCCTCTCTGTCTTTTGCTTCTTGCTTTCTGAAGCCATGTCCCTGAACCTGAGGATTATGTGTGCTCTCCTGATGACTGGTAAGCTGTGTGGACGCTTCTGTCCCATGGATGTCTTTAAACAGTTTGTGTCTTCCTGTTTTGTTAGACAAATTACACTACTTTTGAAAGAAGCATTGCTTAGCAGATTGGGTGATGATGCTCTGACGTAGATTATTTATTGAAATCTGTTGAGTGTCCTTGATTTCATATTCAATAACCTGTATAAACATTTAATACAAAACTGGTTTTATGTGACATTTTTCTTGTAGCTCAGCACTGCCCCCTTCTGCCCCCGTGGCTCTTTGCAGCTACAGAACAGACTGCTTGACACACGGCCTAGTTAGGGAAATTTCCTTTTATAGTTCTTGTCTTACGAAGTCTCTTCAGAGGCTAAAAAGTGGTCATTTAATAAATTCAAATTAATGATGTTTATTTACTTCAATAAATTAAAGCAAAGATTTAACAGAACTTTTTCAGTAAACCTCATAATTCATATCATTACTGAGGGAGGCATTTGCTTGATTCATATGACAACTGATGTGTTATTTTGTGCTCATGGTTAATGTCATGCGTTTGGATATCTTACAAGCAACTATAATTTTTAGTAAAATTTAAATACGTAAAAACAGCATGTTTAGCTGTGTATAATTCAAGTTTAACATTACACAAGTCCCTTTGATGATGTAGTTAAAATTTGACTCAAGATGCTCCTTGATTTATGATGGGTAAGTTTTAAGTTCAACTTTTGTAAACCCAAGGCTATTTGTATCTCTTATTATTTATTGCTTCTCTGTGGCAGCATGTTTCTATTGATTCTAAGCACTGTTCAGTAGTGTCATTGACGAGTATTTTCTACAAGAAAGAAAGAAATCACTTTCACTCTATTTAAGATTGGTATTTTTGGGTAGGAATGTGAAAAAATGACATTAAGATATCCTATTTTCAGTAGAGAGTTCTGTGTTTGCAAAATGAAGACTACACTTGTTCCTATTCTCCCAGTTCCTGTGATACATTACTTCATACAAAATAGAACATTTCCTAAGCTAGACCACTGCAGGCTGCATGAGTATGTCTCCTGCCCAGGGTGATGGACATGACCAGATGTTTCATAACTTTAATCGCTATTGGAAAGAGAGGATGTTATTTTATCTAGATTAATTAAGATTTTAAAAATAAATACAACACCCTTTTAGAAATTTTAATATTCTAAACGATGTAACTCCAAATAAAAGAGGGCCAGAATTTTATAACTTGTTGATATATTTCTACTTGCCATTATATATAAACTTAGATATTAATTATTAAAAAGTAAATATTCTAAAATAAAAACTTTTCTGCCTCTTTAATAAGAATTTTGCACATTCTTAAATCTGACATTTGGTTTTTGTTATGTTTTTGTATTGTTGTTGGTTTTTTATGCCAGTACTGGGGGTGGAGGTCAAATTCAGGGCCAGGTTGATGTCCTTTAACTTTTTTGCTCAAGGCTGGTACTCTACCTCTTGAGCCATAGGATAGTTCTACTTCCAACAGCCTTACTTTTATATACTTGTATTTTCTACCTATGCAATTATTACCTGTAGACCTGAAAAGATGAAGGAACAATCATTACTTGAGTTTCTATTTGGTCCTGAGTCATGTGAATGTTGACCTCAGACCCCACTTTGGAGGGGTCCTCTATTATTAACTCGACAGGGAGAATATGGATGAGTAGTACTTACATCATTAGGAAATTTTGAAGATCAAATAACTACTGTTTTTAAAATGCTTAGAAGAGTGTTTAGACTTAGTAAGCCCACAGAGTACTACCTCTACTTGATTTCACTCTTCATCGCATAGCACTTTTTGTGGGCCTCGATTAATTGTACAAAAGTATTCCATTTTAACATGTCCATTTATGCCAGGGTCATTTTAAAGTTGATAAAATTTAGGTAGAGACTCTGGTAAGTAATTTGTCCACAGAGAATACAAGCTACAAACACAGAGTCCAGAGTTAAAATTTGGTCTAGCCCAGGCATAAAGTATAAGCTAGTTATATTACATTGTATGGATTTTGGAATGTTAAGAGTACCTGCTTTTAGATAGTCTTGCACCTTCAAAAATCATTCTCTTTTTCTAGTGATTTCCTTTAGCATTCTCAATCTTAAATGTATTTCAGTAACTTTCTGGTATTATTGAACAAGTACAAGTACAGAGGTAAAATTTTGACTGACTCGAAGAAAGTTAGTATAGAGAACAGAAGGACCCACAGTTTTTCACATTCGTGCATCTGGCATTTGCCCAATCTCATCCAATTGGTTTTTATGCAAAGGAAAGCAAAGTCATCAGGTGTAATCCTGGTCGAATCCTGTTCCAGGCATCCAGATGCATTTTATGCTCCTGGGCATCGGGAGTACAGTGTAGATGACTCTGTAAATCACAACTACAGCTCTGAACATGTGCTCCAGGCCAGCTACTCCATAGCTTCAACTTTCAGCATGAGGCTCCTTGGATTCTAAATGTAAAGCCTGTGAGCTGTATGTATTTTACGGCTGTACCTGAATTAGTATTCACTATAAAAGTGTCAAGTTATGATGGCTCACCCCTATAATCCTAGCTACTCAGGATGCTGAGATTTGAGGATTGCAGTTCAAAGCCAGCCAGAGCAATTCAACACCAAATAGCTGTGTCTCAAGTGGTAGAGTGCTAGCTATGAGGAAAAAAATAGCTCAGAGACAGCTCCCAGGCTGTCAGTTTTAAAGGCAAACATGTAGTACATTATCAAACAGATTTTGTTGACATTAAAAGTAGTCAGATGGTGACTGTATTTCTGCTGTTAAATATTAATATATTTAATATATTTACAATTAATATATTTACAATTTGAAGAGATAAAATTATGTCATAACCAGCTGCTGCTTACTCACAGATAAATTCCTTTCTATTAAAGACCCCTTATTCTCTACATTGATAAAATCAATATTTAGAGTATAAAAAGAAACAGTCTTTTTCAACCTCCACGTAGCCAAAAAAAATGCTTATTTTTCCAGCACTGTTTCCTTAACAGTTTTTCTCTTTCCTTAACGTTTCTTGTGGAAAATCTTAAGCATAAACAGTAAAGAGGGGGCTGGGAAGGTGGCTCAGTGGTAGAGCGCTTGCCTTGCATGCCTGAGGCCCTGGGTTCGATTTCTCAGCACCACATAAGCAGAAAAAGCCGGAAGTGGCACTATGGCTCAAGTGGTAGAGCGCTAGCCTTGAGCTGAAGAGCCAAGGGACAGCACCCAGGCCCAGAGTTCAGGCCCCCACAACCGGCAAAAAAAAAAAAAAACAATAAAGAGGAAATATGCCATTGCTAACTTAAATAATACACACCCAAGCCGAATTTCAGTGCATCTTTGTCTTTCCCCCATGATTATTTTGAAGCATATCCCACATAACATATAATTTAGGGTTTGATTAACTATCTAATATAGTTCCCTAGTATACCTTCTGGCAATTTTTTAAGTAAATGATAATGGTGGTGTCTCTCCAGAAAGATTACTTTTAAAAATGTTCTGTGCTTAGTCATTTGTGGTTTTATTATTCAGATAGTATGATTTTCTGTTCTCCAGTCATTTATTTTCTTGTTTCATTCTGGCCTATAATTATACGTGAAGTGAAAGGTATTTTATTCTGAGGCAAGGGCTAGCTTCACTAAAACATTTTTCCGGGTGTGACCATACAATAATGAGATCTAACACATCTAAATTAGCATTTGTCTTCAAAGCAGTCCCCTTGGCGGGTAATTTATTTATCCAGTGATGCAGCCTTTCAGAGAATGTTTTTGGATTGCCTCGTTTGTAATTGCCTTCAGAAATACTTTGAGTCACACAGAAAGCCAGGTCTCATTACTTTGGTCAAAACCAGTGTCTAGCAAAGAATATTATTGCATTTAAACACTAATGTACATTTTTGGATTTAACTCTGAAGGCCAAGACGCATGACAAAAAAGTTAAATTTCCCAGCCAGGAATTCTGATTTGAAATCAATGATACCATTGAAAATCATAAGTTGCAAACCTTGGGCTCAACAGGGCTGGACTTCTAGGGCCAGAGGACCCCCCCCCCGCCCCCATAGCACCATAGAGATTCCCCAGGTTGGGGGAAGGGGCCATAGTCCTTCGGTTAGAGAGGGTATTGACTGGGATCAGGCTGCACTCCATCACTTGGGAGAACCTCATCCCATTCAGAAAGTTGCACGTGTCCTGCTGACAACAAGCGCTAGTAAACACCACGGAGGAGTCTCAGCACTGACCAGGACTGGTGTGCTTTGTGGTGACTGTGATCTCATCTAGACAGCTGACCTCGCAAAGTCACAGTGTTGCACTGTGAGTCTAACCAACCAGGTCTGTGAATGGCAGTGTTCAGGAAGATGTTTTTGCATGGGTCAGCCTGAGAGCATTGCACAGCTCTTTACTAAACAGCGGCTGGAGATCTCTCTGTCCAATTGTCGCTATCGGTTTTCAAAAGAGAAATTCAAGCATGTGCTCTAAATTCCTGCTAGTTATTACCCAGAAGAAGGTTCACCTGACACACCCAGGTACGGCAGTGGGCAGGAGAAAATACGCTCTCCCAGAGTCAGTTAGGAGCCGGTACCTGCTTGTACACAGGGTCTAGAAGACATCATGGCTTTTGTCTGCCCCACATTGGAATTATCAGAAGAAGGCAAAAGAAACAAGCTTTCCTCACTCTGTGTGAAGAATGCCAATAGCAAGTTGAGGCCCACAAAGAAAGCCAAGATTGACAGTCTAGTGAATAACTTGCCAAAGGGCAAAAGGGGCCAGAAAAAAGTGACAGGTCGAGGTTGTGGGGCCAAGTGGCAGACTTGCACTTGAGGTAGTCCCTGCAAAGATGCCCTGTGCCAAGGACTGAAAGTCACCCCGCAAAGCCACACAGGTCTCAGGGCTACACTTCATCCCTTCATGAAGCCATGCACCGAGCTCATAATTCTGGAAATGTAGTTAATTCTCACTGCAGAAATCAGCAACTGGACCAGGGGAGCAGCCATGGTTATGAGTCGGAGCAGCCTGGGTGCACAGAAGGGAATCTTGAGGTTGGCCTCAAGATTCTTCCCAGAAGACTGTGTCCTTTGACCCTTCCCATCATGCACCCTTTACCCAGAGTGGCCCTGCAGCTTTGACTTAGACCTTACAACGAGGTTGGAGAAGTAACTGAGGAGAGCACAGGTGTCTTCAAGTCTAGCCAGGAGCACTGCGCACACCTGTCCCAGTAACACCTGCCTAGTACAGGACCCACCTCAGCTGCAGCCTATGGCTGAAAGCAAAAGCAGACACAGATGCCCCTTCTGATGTGACTTGATGCTAGGAACAGACTGTCTCTTTTAGTGTCTGTCAGATTGTACTGACATACTGATTTTTCAACATTTCACATCAGAGAATGGCCTTGCTATAAGCATGTGTTTAAAACTACTAAAAGATACATGAAACAATAGAGAACTTGAAATTTGACATCTTAAAAGTTACCTTTAATTTCTACCCTGGGGGCTGGGAAGGTGGCTCAGTGGTAGAGCGCTTGCCTTGCATGCCTGAGGCCCTGGGCTCCACTCCTCAGCACCACATAAGCAAAAAGAAAAAAGCTGGAAGTGGCGCTGTGGCTCAAGTGGTAGAGCGCTAGCCTTGTGCTGAAGAGTTGAGGGACAGCGCCCAGGCCCAGAGTTCAGGCCCCACGACCATACCCCCCCCCCAAAAATAATAATTTCTACCCTGGCTGGGGGGGGGTACTGGGGTTTGAATATGAAGTAAAAGCCTTTGTCAAAGAATAGAGAAAGGGATATATATGTTAATTATAAATACATGCATCTAAGTGAATTATACATTTATTTGAAAGTTACATTAGTGGTAGCAACTGGAATTTACAAAAAGAAAAGAATAATTGGTGAGATTAATTAAACATATTCTGTAATTCTTTGGAAAGGAAATAGACTTTGTTATGGAAGATAGGAATATGAATATTCCTTATCATCTCAGTTTCCTAAAAAGTAAAGCAGAAAATTATAAATAGGAACCATAATACATCTCAATAATTGAAATTTTGTAAAGCCCTAATATAAACATTTTAATATGTAATAATATTTGTAGGAGAAATGCATGGTAATTTTTCTATCTGCGTGTTGATACGTCATTTAAAAGTTCTTGGTCCCTCCCCCAGTGTTAAAACTAAACCAATAATACCAATGATAGTTTTGAGAATTAATAGACCACTACATGTAAAAAACAAGATGAATTTTATTATAAACATTCTAAGTTTACTCCATTGGTTTGGGGGAGAAAATGTATCTCATTGAAGGTGCTGTGTGTGTTCTGTTCCTTTATCCACTATTTTCTTCAGCTATTTCTTCTTTCTTTCAAGCTTCTGGTTTTAAAATATGATGGTCTTACTAGCTCACACATAAACCTTGATAACACTCTATATAACGCACGAGCTTTCTGGATTGTACTTATTTTGGGTGATATTATTTTTTCCTTGATGAATTCAGAAATTTTTTCCTCCTATGCACAGAAGTTTATGTATATATTTTCATTGTACATTTCAAAGATGCCTTTTGTTTTGGCATTCCCACTTACATGTTTCTCTTCCTTTTCCTTTTAATCTCACAAATATATCACCCTGAATCTAATAATAGCTAGATTATAAAGAAAATACCAATACAGTGCATCTAATAATCTGAAGGCAGCAACAACGCTAAAAATACAGAGATGTGATATGCTTATAAATATTTGTGCAGGTATTTGTCAGGGACAGATATTGATATAAGATGTTAATAGCTTACTCATGTTTTTGTATGTCATGTAGTAATAATGAAGTATTTATCACTAATATAACAAGTCATTTAGGCTAAAGTAAAAGGATTAATATTTTAGGCTAACTTCATTCATCAGAATTCAAAAAAATGAAAATATGGAAATTGAAGAAATTTACTTCTAGGTGTTACAGAAGTTTTGTTATATTAAAAAAAATCAGCCAGGTATGAATAGCTCACACTATAATCCTAGCTATTCAGGAGGCTGAGATCATGGTTTGAAACCAGTCTAGACAGAAAGCCAAGAGTCTCTTATTTCCAATTAATCTACAAAAAAGCTGCAACTGGAGGTGTGGCTCATATTATAAAACAACAGTTGTGAACAAAGAAAAGCCAAAAGAGAATGAGAGGGTTTGAGTTCAAGCCCCAGTACAGGCTCGCTTTCTCTCTCTCTCTCTCTCTCTCTCTCTCTCTCTCTCTCTCTCTCACACACACACACACACACACATTTTAGAATGCTTCAATGTGTCTTATGAAACAGCCATGATATCTTATTTAGAAATTCAGGCTGAGTTATATTTGATTTGTCAAAGGCATGCAGGCATATCTATTTGCTTGATATGAGATTGTTGGCATGGTAGAAATGAAGCAGGTTTGCTTTATTCTTCCCCTGCAGGCAGAGCCCACAGACTGCAGATGAGAAGACATTCAGTGATTCATCATTGCTGGAAAACCTCCAAAATAATCATGTAAGTGACAGAAAACCATTTTCTTCATTAATGGATGGAAACGAATGGATGTTTCTCAACTCTCTTCCATGTTTAGATATTTATTTTCTCAGGATCATTTTAATAATTACCAAAAACCCATTATTGCTAAATCCTTTTTACATGGCTGACATGCATTTGTGGTAGTTGAAAATGTAGTTTTAGTATTATCATTAATCAGTACTCTCGCTTTTCAAAGAGCTTAATTTTAAGTAATTACAGAACCAATTCGTAAGAAGCAATGTTGTTAGCAATCCTATGTGTATGTGTGTGTGTGTGTGTGTGTGTGTGTATGTATATATGAGTTACTTGGCAATATCCTAAACTAGTGCAAAATCTGTAACAACAACTGAAGATGTCTGCATCCAATGTGAACATATCCTTATGCAGTCACCAATAATTCTTCACTCCATGAGATTAAAGTACCAAGTATTCTGGAATTTAAACAGTTCCTCAATACCACTCAAGCTCGGTATTTCAAAATCATTACCCAACAGTTTTCATTCTAGCCACAAATGGACTTATTGCCCCTCAGTAGAGCCATATCCCTTGGATCATCAACAAAATATAGCTTCAGGATCCACAAAAACCTCACCCTAGTACAGCTCTTCTCATTTGTGTCCTCAGTTTCAGTAAAGTATGCCATCACCTGTCCAATTACTCCTGAGAATTTAAGACCTATCCTTAGTCTCTCTTTTTCTCTACTGTCCAGATCTCCTATGAGCCACCAAGCCCTTGTCAGTACTGACAAGTGTCAAGTGTCTGCTATAATTCATTCTCAACATTTTTTCCCTTTGTCTAGACCACAGCAGCCCCAGTGTGGATTTCAGCCATAGCTTCCTAATCAGTTTCCTGGTTTGCCTTTTTCACTCCTCTCCAGTTGTTGCTGTAAATGGTGGACAGAATGATACAATGAGAGTCGAGTCCCTTACCTGCCCTGTACAAGATCACTCTGCCTCCCTCTTCCTGCTCAGAGTTTGGTGATCAGGCCCCCAACCTGGTCTCTACTCTCTCCACCTGAGTTCCTTTTCACCTCTGCCTCCTGAGACCACACTGGCCTTCTTTGATTTTTCTCAAGCACACTTCATTTTCTCCTTCTTCAGAACCTTTCCAGTTGTAGGCCATTCCTTGCTGCTCTCAATTCTCTGTGGTGCTAAAATGTCAGCCACATAAATATGTGTTTGTCTCGAGGATCATTAGACTCCCCGAGACACCTCTTGTGATTTTCCCATATTCTCTTTAGAATCCTTAACACTCAGTAAATAAATCACACTTGTGTTTACTCATGTTTTATCTCCCCAGTAGTCTAAGCTGCCCATGGCTGGAACCATCTCTTAGATAGAACAGTCTCCAAATCTTCTGATTGACCTTTCCATTCATTTTATTTATTTTTTGTTTTTATTTTTTACTCAACATATGTTTGTTGGCTTTTATTTTTTTAGTATGATTTGAATGGCATTCCTTTTCATCAGAAGTTGGACAGGAAGCTGTTTAATTTTAAATATCTGGCTTTTTTTCCTCTATGAACTCTTAGCTCCTTAAAGGAGCTACTTTTCCAGTCTTAAGGCAAAAGAGCTCATTATACAGGAATCCTCCCCTGTTCTTCTTTTAGTTAAACATGTAGCAGGTTAAGGTTACCATTTTTAGAGACAGGCGGGCAGAGCATTACAAAGAAATCCTGTTATCATTCCCCCAAAAAAGTAAGATCAGATACCTGAGACTTAATTCCCATCTGAAATTATATCCATGCAAGTGGCCATATTAGAATTTCTCTCCTATCCTCCAAGGATAGGATTCATCATCATTTCCCACTGTACTAGCTCTAGTTGACTAGTTCTAGTTGTATAAATGTTCAGAAGGTAAGCTAGGCACCTGTGACTCATGCCTGGGATTCTAGCTCCTCTGGAAGCAGAAATCAGAAAATTACTGTTTGAGAACCAACCAGGTTAAAAAAAAAAGTTCATCTCAAAAGCAAAAGTTCGATGTAATGGTATATGCCTTCCATCCTAACAATATCAAAAAGCATAAATAGAAGAATCGCAGTACAAACCAGCCTGGGCAAAAAGTGAGACCCTATCTCATAAATAAACAGAGCAAAAAGGGCTAGAGGTTTGGTTCAAGAGATAAGAGCACCTGCCTAGCAAGTGTGAGGCCCTGAGTTCAACTTTGAATATTGCCCCACCCTAATTCATCTGGAAGGTGAATGAAGAAGTACAAGTTACAGTAATTTGGGTGGAAATATACTTTGTTCGTAACACATGTTGGCTCCCTACAACTAATCTCACATTCCAAGCTTTTGTGTGTGTGTGCTGGCCCTGGGGCTAGAACTCAGGGCCCGAGCACTGTCTCTGCTTTTGAGCTCAAGGTTAGTACTCTACCAGCTAAGCCATAGCTCCACTTTGACTCATTCTTTCATGGTTACTTGGAGATAAGAGTCTCATGGACTTTCCTACCCAGGGTTGGCTTCAACCATGATCCTCAGATCTCCTCAGGCATCAGCTACCAGCACCCAGCCCAAGCTGCATTCTTAAGAGCTAGATATGAAGTAATATAACTATCAGAGTGGTGTTGAAGTGGTTAACTGAAAAGAATTAAAATTTTTGTGTTCCTTTCTCACAGCCAACTGCACCTATTATATGTGAGTTTCTTACCATGATGGCAATCTGCCACACAGCAGTACCAGAACGAGAGGGTGAAAAGATCATCTACCAAGCAGCGTCTCCAGGTACAAATGAAACCACTCATGCAGTACTTCTGTGTGGAAAATAGTTCAAGAAATGTAGATTTCAAAATATGTATTCAATATGAAAAGGTTATAAAACAAAATTGTCTTTTTTTAAGTAAAATTTGCATTTACTAATGAGAAAAATCTCACCTTTCAGGATACATGTTAAAATGTATAACAAGATACAGGTCCTTTTTGGTATACAACATGAAGGGAGGTAAATAATAAAATTCAAGTGAATGAAGATGTAATCCTAATTTCCTCCTTTTTAAATAAGTTTATACTAGCTATAAGTACCTTTTTCACAAAAGCAGATAGAACAGGAAGATCTATGTACCTAGAAATAATGATTTTAGAACACTGATTTTTCCTTTCCTCTTTTAAGAATAATAGCAGGGTGCTTGTTTTCTTTTTGTTTTTTTTTTGGGGGGGGTCCAGTCGTGGGGCCTGCACTCTGGGTCTGGGAGCTGTCCCTCAGCTCTTCAGCTCAAGGCTAGCGCTCTACCACTTGAGCCATAGCACCACTTCTGGTTTTTTTTTCTTTTTGCTTATATGGTGCTGAGGAATCGAACCCAGGGCCTCAGGCATGCAAGGCAAACGCTCTAACACTGAGCCACCTTCCCAGCCCCAGGGTGCTTGTTTTCTATTTAGTTGAGTAAAGTTTTATACACTTTAAGAGATTGCATAAAACATTTATAAATTGAAATATCAATAGTTAACATGTAGGTTTCATTTTCAAAATATGATTAGGTAAAAACCAGTTTGATAACTGAACCTGTTAGGGAGAAGGGTGTACACTTGGAAAGGGAAGCACTTTACTTTGACTGTGTAAGCCAGTGTCTGACTTGTACAACATACTGAACTCCTACAAAGAAAATTTCACATTTCATCTGGTTAGCATAGAATCTATGCATATAAGGTTTGTTTTCTGATTTTTGTTTTGTTTTGTTTTGGGGGTCTTTTTATCCTCCAGTGTCAGTCACAGGGTTATGATTCATAGCCTGGATATTGTCCTTGAGCTTTTGAACTCAAAGATAGCCACAGCTCCACTTACGACTTTTTGGGTTGTTAATGGGAAATAAGAGTATCACGGACTTTCCTGCTAGGGCTAGTTTTGAACTGTCATCCTCTCAGCTTCCTGAGTAGCTAGGATTACAGGCACCCTGGATTTGTTCCTATGTGTTTTCTTATCCCCACACCCTCTCTTGATAATGAAAAGGCTTTAGGGCAATAATGAAAGTAGTTTATATATAATGAAATATCCATTTTAAGCACTCTTCAATGACTAGCATTAGCTTTTCTGCATTCAACTTTATAGGAAGAAAAGATACAACTTAAGACTATTTTGTGCTATTCATTTGGAGAGAAGTTTCTAGAGAAGTTTCTACACTAAGGGGTATTATTCTTTTTAGGTGCTGAGGACTGAACTCAGGGTCTTGCAACTGGTAGCCCTTCCACTGAGCTAAATCCCAACCCTCTAATTGGGTACATGACTAACAATGAAGCTCACTAGTCAGAAACAGGATGCCAGGGTCTATATGTGTTTCAGAGACTTCAGACTGTTTTCTTTCGAAGGTTGGGGATGTCTGGCTGTGGTGCAGCATTTGCTTAACATGTACAAGGCCCTGAGTGCAGCCCCTGGCATTTTTAATTTTTTTTTATTGTAAAAGTAGTGTACAGAGGGGTTACAGCTACACGAGTAAAGTAATGAGTACATTTCCTATGGAGCATTGCTACCTCCTCCTTTGTTTTCCCTATCATCCCTTCCCTCCCCACCTCCTCAACTCCCTCCTCACTCCCAACCCCCAGCATTATCAAAAGAAAAAAAAAAAGATTGTTCTCTCATTCCTTTGGCATTTGTGTAGTTTAAAAAGATTTTACTATCAGGTGCCAGAATGGAAAGACTTTTGATGAAAATTGTATTCCATGCTCACATGAGTGTATTTCTCTGTCTCTCCTGTCTCTCGGACTTCTTTCCATCCTGCTCTCCTGAAACAGATGAGGGAGCACTGGTCAGAGCTGCCAAGCAGCTGAACTTCGTCTTCACTGGAAGAACACCTGATTCGGTCATCATCGATTCGGTAAGTTACGCATAATATAAGTTCCTTATTAAACCAAGTGATACATGTGCAGAGCTTCCAACAAAAGGCTGTTAACTTAAGGATCCTAATAAAATAGAAGTCCCACCCCCCAATTCTATCCCCACAAGCAGTCGCCACCTTCTCTTCCTCTATCTGTTTCCTGAAGCATTTATACATCTCACTTCAAGTTGTGTTTCAAGCAGCAGGCTTGCACAGAGATGTCACAAAAGATCACAGTTGAGGGGTCAGGAGGCTTGTGATGAAACATTATTACTCAGAAAGGAAATGCAGAACCACAAGGACATTCTCTACAATACACCTAGAAGGCCATAGTGAAAAACATTGACAATACTGACTGCCAAAGAGAATGTGGAACCAGTGAAGCCATTATATATGGGAGTAAATGTGTAACGTGGTACAATCCTTTCCTAAAACATTTTTCAAAGTTTTCTAATAATGGCAACCTTACACCTGACCCTACCACTATAGGACAATTACATCAGACAGATTAAAGTTCCCATCTATCCACCAAAAGACTTGCAATGGAATATTCCTAGCAGCTTTATACACAGTAGCCAAAAACTGGAGACAAACCAAATGCTTATCACTAGGAGAATGAAAAAAATCACATTGTGATATATTCCTACAAAGGGAATAGCTAAACAATGAAATGGAATGACTTACTGATTCAGCAGTGTGAATGAATCTCAAAAACATGATGTTGAAGAAAAAAAGAAGCCATACACAAAAGAGTGCATTTTTAATTTCATTTATATGCAGCTTGACATCAGGCAGAAGTGATTAATGGTGATAGAATTTAGAGCTGAGGTTGCCTCAAGGTAGAGAAGAGATTGATTGGGCAGCTGTACAAGGGAATTTCTGGATGGATGGATGGATAGATGGATGGATGGGTGGATGGATGGATGGATGAAGAAATGCTTCATATCTTCATCAGGGTGGTTTTTGCAAAGATAGTGCCTTTTTCAAACAGTTCCGTTTTCATTGAACTTTATATCAGAGATCTAATTGAACATTCATACCAGTTTTCTCATCAATATTCTTAGCTAAACATCTTTATATTCAGTACTTATTTTTTTTGTACCAGTACTTGGGCTTGAACTCATGATCTTAGACTCTTGATTACATTTTTCATTCAAGGCTGGTGCTGTACCACTTGATCCACACCTCCACTTCCAGCTTTTTGCTGGACATTTGGAGATGATAGTCTCTCAGATTTGTCTATTCAGGCTGGCTTTGAACTTCGACCCTCAGATCTTAGCCTCCTGAATAGCTAGGAATATGCTCATGAGTTATCACTGCCCAGCTATTATTTTTCTTTCTGTGTTTTCTAACTGAAAATTATTTCCTAAAGGTACATTATTTTTCCTTCAATACCTAAAGATAAGTCCTCTGCTTTTTTTCACTGCACTGTTTTGTTATCGTGACTAAGTATCTTCCATACCTTCTCGGTATATTCACACTGGATCTACTGCCTGTTAGAAAGTCTCACTCCTCTCACATATCTGGGCCCATGGTTTTCTTTCTCTTGTTTTTGACTGTTTCTATTAGCCTGCAATTTTATGTATGTTGACTTTGTTATAATAAAATTTCATGACCAGTAATTATTCTAAGAAGCTAGAGTTATTTCCAACGCTGTATAATCTTATGTTTCATTCCTTCATAGCTGGGGCAGGAAGAACGATACGAATTACTCAATGTCCTGGAGTTCACCAGGTAAAATACCTACTCACCTACTCTGATTTGCCACAATAAGTTCCTGTCGATTTTACTTTTCCCCTTTTAAATTAGAATATGTGCTTTGGTTTTATTTATGCTTTGTTTAGGCGAAATGTTCCAACTTTTTTGTGGGGGTGGGGACCAGTCCTAGGGCTTGAACTGGGGTCCTGGGTGCTTTCAGAGACATTTCAGTTCCAAACTATAGCAGCTACTGATCTGGCACGTCATTATACCAAAAGTGCCAGGATTTATGTGTAGTTAATGTGAATGTGATGTTCTGATTGTGTGATCACAATGTCTATTTGTCTTTGGGATAATGAAACTGAAGGAGATGAGCTGTTATCTAGTAGGAAGAAAGGAGAAACAAAGTGATTGGTCCCTCCCTCCCTCCCTCCCTCCCTTCCTTGCTTCCTCCTTCCCTTCCTTCCTTCCTTTCTCTCTCTCTCTCTTTCTCTCTCTCTCTCTTTCTTTTCCAGTTATAGGGCCTGAACTCAGGGCCTGAACTCTGGGCACTATCCTCAGCTCTTCAGCTCAAGGCTAGCTCTCTGCCACTTAAGCCACAGCACCACTTCTGGATCTTTCTGCTTTTGTGGTGCTGAGGAATTGAACCTAGGGTCTCATGCATGCAAGGCAAGCACTCTACCACTGAGCCACCTTCCCAGCCCCTGGCCTGTTTATTTCTTAGTGTCAAATAATAGAGGTCTTCCGTTATAGCCTCTATTCAAGCCTTCTAAGGTATGCAGTTTCCCATCCAGTGTACATTCTTAGCACAGCTACCTTCTCAGCTTCAGGGTCTTTTAAAAGTGCTTGCCATCATAGGATAGCTGTGATCATAGAAACCAAATGATAGATGCTTAGGTAATTTCTGAAAGTGCTACTGTTTTCCTATATTAAAATTAAAATTACCACTTATTCTTACTAAAAATCTATACACCAGTGAGTATTAACACTTGCTGGTTCCTAGGGAACCATGTTGTAAATTGCTACTCTGAGGTGGTAGATGGTACCTTTAAATATGTAGTATAAGCTAGGTGCTAGTGGCTCACGTCTGTAATCCTAGCTACTCAGGAGGGTGAGATCTGAGAATTGCAGTTCAAAGCCAGCTCAGGCAGAAAAGTCCCCATGATACTGTTACCCCCAATTAACCACTCAAAAATCAAAAGTGGGGCTGTGGCTCAAAGTGTTAGAGCACTAGCCTTGAGTAAAAAGAGCTCAGGATCAGCACCCAGGCCCTGAGTTCAAGCCTCACAACTGACAAAAAGAAGTAATGTAACTTTCAAAAGTATCCACATGAGGGTACATTTCTATATGTAGAAGAATAAGATCATAATTTGTTGGAATTTATTTTTTTACTGTGAGTATTAAAATATGTGAGGCATGATAAACATACATGCACATACTCAGGCTGATGACCCATTATGGAAAACTTCTTTCTTTCAGTGCTAGAAAGCGAATGTCAGTGATTGTCCGCACTCCATCTGGGAAGTTAAGACTCTATTGCAAAGGAGCTGTAAGTTTTTATTTTTGTCTTTCACTGTTTTGATTTATGGTGGTTTATAATGTACGTGTTAGGCATTCTGCTGTGAAAATGTAACACAGATGTTTAACATGAAGTTGCTGACATCCATTTTTGTTGGTGTTTTATAATAATAGTTTTCAGCCTCTTCTGGCAAAATGTGGAATTCCTTCTGGGTAAACTTGGGGTGTTGAAACAATTTGGCTTGGGTTATTTTTATAGTTCAATTTTTGATACCTAATATTTGAGGGTTATGTTATGTAAACTATGTTAGTTGATGACTAAATACAGAAAGTATTTTTAAATTGTATTAGAATGTAATAAGACACTGTAGTTTTAATCTAATTGTTTAAAAACCATAAAAGTGGTAAAAAAAATTTTGATCACACAGTTGCTAGAATTTCTTCATGTAGTAATTACTGTTTGCTTTCCATTCTAATTATAGCAGAATTTCTGATTTTTAGTTGGTTTCGGTTTATTGGCAAGTTACTATGTTCAGAAAATAATCGTGAGTTTTCCTGGTTAAATGTACATTTACAGTCGAGGAAAAAGGAGAACTCAACTGACCAGGGGCTTTTTTTCTCTTTGGTGGTGGTGGTGGTACTGGGGTTTGAACTCTGGGCCAGGACACTGTCCCTTGGCTTGGCTGCTTAAGGCTAGTACTCTACCATGGAGTCACAGCTCCACTTCTGGCTTTTTTTCTTGTTTTCTTTGAGAGTTAATTGAAGATAAGAGTGTCACAGAGTTTCCTACCCTGGCTGGCTTTCAGCCTTGATCTTCAGAGTAGACAGGATTGTACATTTGGCACCTTGCTCAGGGTCTCTCCCCTCCCCCACTTTGTTGTTGTATTTTCCTTCTGACTTGTCTTTTCCAGTTAGTTCCTTTAGATTTACCAGCTGGGAAGTTTACAGCTTTAACTACTTAGAATCAACCATTTTGCTATCTCACAGAAACTAGGAAATTAAACTTGAGAAACCTAAGCCTTGTTTCAAAAGTATTGAAATGCAGTTTTGAATACCTTGGTTTTAGAAGCTTTGGGAAGAATTATTTTGTTACAGAGTTCTTTTGGTTTGGTATTCCCATTGATTCAAACATATATCGTTTATTCACTGAAGATTTTTATATCCCTAGAGGTGGAACTGGATTTTTGGAGATAGGAAGATATTATATGAAAAAGGTCTCAGGAGTTTAAGACTAGCTAGGATATATATCTATATATATGGATGGATTAGAATAAAGTATTAAGGTACCTTATAAAGATCTTCCACATTCCAATGATAAAGTACCAAATGACAAGAGAATAAAAAGAGCCTTTAAACCTCTACTTTAAATGATAAGCTATCTCCCTGGTTTCCAACAGCCAAATTCTTCTTTTTAACTTTAGTGTTCAATGGTCTTTGGCCTAAAATTTCTTGTTTGGGGAGTTAAATCATTGAATAAAGAAAACTGAAAACTTTGGACTTCCATTTGTGATAACCGTAGAGATTATTTGCATACATTAACTTGATCTCCTATTGGCTATGAACTATGGTGCAGTAGTAAATAGGTATCTACGAGTGAAACAGCGAGGAATGTTTAAACACTGTACTTTGTGGTTTGGAGAGGAATAGCTGACCGTGAGGCAGAAGGTGAGTGGGATGAGTTGTTGTTTTTCTTAATTCTCAAGAGAAAGCTCTTGAGAATTAAGATGTCCATTGGAAAGATGATTGAAGGCTGAAAACAGATGCCTGGCACAGGAACCATTCAGCTATTGATAGCAGTGCAGACAAGTGTGGATAAGTGTTGTGAAGGATGAACTAAGGCAAAGAAGACTGAGAAGGAAGATTTAGGACTTGGTAATTGACTGCCGTGGGTGCCGAAGGGAAGGATTATCTAGGCTCATTAGGAGATTTCTACTAGGCTTAGGGAGTAGACTGATAGCCCATACCATGAGAAAGAGTTGAAAGCCACATTTGGGCCATAAAGCAGAAAAGCCTGCACTTCTCCAGAAGAGGCTGGGGGATGTGGAAGATAGATACAGTGTTAGGACTTAACAAGTGTGGCCGGAATCTAAAAGCAGGGAATTTTAAAAAATATTTTTCATGGTCTTTAAATAGTTGTACAAAGGAGCTGGTACTCAGCAAAGCAGTTTATGAATACAGTGCCTCTTGATCAGTGTCACCTTCTCAATACACCTTCCAACCCACCCCGTCCCTCGCTTAATTTTTAGGTTATGGATTGGATTTTTTTTTGGCCACTTAGCAAAGCACTTTATGTATACAGTGCATCTTGACCTCGGTCATAACATCTTGAAGAAAGAAATGTTAGCCTGAGATCAGAAAAGAAGCGGAAAAACACAAAGTAGAAGAAATTAGGAAAGCATATTAAATTTTGAAACAGAATCTACAGAGCCTATTGATTTGTTGATAGAGTGAATAATCACCAGTTTTCCATCAGAAAACCTAGACAATAAGACTTCATTAAGAAGACATTTCAGCTCCTCAGGAGGCTGGGATTTGAGAGTTGTGGTTCAAAGCAACCTGGGAAGAAAAGTCCATGAGCCTCTTTTCTCCAATAAACTATTCAGAAAAAGCCAGAAGTGGCACTGTGGCTCAAGTAGTAGAACACTAGTCTTGAGCACAAACAAGTTGAGGGACAATGCCAGGCCTCGAGTTCAAACCACAGGACTGGCAAAAAGAAAAAGAAAAAAGAATACATTCCAGTCAAGTAACAGTGGCTCACACCTATAATCCAAGCTATTCAGGAACCTGAGACTTGAAGCCCATGAAACTCCATCTCTAAAAATACCATCAGGGCTGGAGGCATGGTTCAAGTGGTAGAATGCCAGTTGAACAAGTAAGCAGAGCAAATGTAAATCCTGAATTCAAACCCAAGTTCCACCAAAATTTGAAAAATAATATATTCCAGGCCAGTATGATTGTTCTCACCTATAGTCCAAGCTATGCATCAAGGAGAAAGAGGAAAATCAAAGTTCAAGCCTGAGCCTGAGGAAAAAAAGCAAAAAGCAAAAATGTCAAGACAATATTTTAAAACAGGCTTATTATGGTGGTACACATCTTCACATCTTTAGTCCCACCTACAAAAGTGGCAGAGATAAGGAGACCAAAGTCATTTCAAAGCTGGTCCCAAACAAAAAAGCACAAGACCCTATCTGAAAAATAAAGCAAAAAGAGACTTCCCTAAACACACACCATGACATCATCCACTTACATGGACTTCAGATTGTATTTGGCCATAACAAAAGCCCAATAACCAATTACTAAGTGAAAATTAAAGGAAGAGAAACATGGCTTTGGGGGTTTTACCTTACATTAATTATACAGAGAGGGGTATCATTATGACTTTTCTTAAACACTGAGTTCAAACCCCAATGCAGAAAGAAAGACAGCACCTTTACAATGAAATTAAAAAAAAAAATAGAGACAGAGCAGGGAGGGGAAGGGAGGAGGAAGGAAGGGATGGAGGGAAGGAAGGAAGAAGGGAGGGAGGGAGGGAAAGAAAACATTCTAGCCAAGATAGCATAAATGTTCATCTATCACTCTATCTCCTCCATTCCAGAGCCATGATGGATAAAGTTAGTATAAAAATTTTTTTTTAAATAGGCAAAATCCAAATGGCTCATTGGACTGAAGTCTTGAGCTGGGTGATTGGGAGTCCCAGTTGTAGGTTTGGAATCCTGAGTCTTACTGTCCTCAGAGCTCTAGACTCTCGCACAGTGGCTATAGTTCACCCGTGTTATATGCCTTGCAGCACCATTTACTGATTCTCTACTTTTACCTTGCTGAGGGTCAGGACACAAGACAATTCAATCCAGTGAGGATTTTTTTATAACCATAAATTCTGAGTCTGATCCTTTGCTAGTATGTGTTTTAATACTGAATTTTAATATTTTTGTTATTGGTGGAGCTTGAACTCAAGGCCTGGGCACTGTCCCTGAGCTTTTTTACTCTAGCCTCTTGAGCCACATCTCCAATTTGGGTTTTCTTGATTAATTGGCAATAAGAGTTTCACAGGCTTTTCTACCTGGGCTGGTCCTGAGTAGCTTGGACTATGGGCATGAGATACCAGCATCTGGCTGGAAACGCCCTCCCCCACCTCCACCTTTTTTAGCTCCTAGTTACGTACCACATATTTGATATAGATGAAAGAGTGTTACCGTGTATTTTTTCACAGGTAAGCATGGCCATCTGATTGTGGTGGTTATTTAAAAACCTAGAATCCATGTAATCTAGAAGGTCATATTTTGGTTCTCTGCTTTTTGTCAGTAGGAGTCTAAGAAAGGCAGAAGTTAATTTTCCATATTCCAAGCATGAATTTCTTTCACTAGGATGTTTGGATACACTTACAGCAGAAGTTAATCTCCCTAACTTTATCCCATATCACTTCGGTGTTCATGTTTTTAATTTTCAGGAGATTTTCTTAGTTTGGAAATGGGCTGTATTAATGTCATTGAAAATTTCCCTAGCCTCTGGGGGGAAAAAGAAAGAGTTCATAAGTTATACCTCTCCATCCCAGAAAGGGGCCAAGAGGGGAATTATTATCATTTCCTCTTGCTTTATGCCCTTCCCCATTACACCATTGAGAAATGAAAAGAAATTCATAATTGGGGCCTAGGAAATCCCACCTGCACTGAGGTCACTATGTTCTGTTTCTCTCAAGGGTTCTAAATCATTCTCCATTAGCCAGCTTCCAAATCTCAGCCCTGAGCCTAGAGACCCCAAAGTGGGTAAGACCACTGAGAAAGCAATTGCAGGTAAATGATTTATTTTTTCCTGGTCTAATAAAACCATGAAGGCAGAATACTAAAATTCTTTTTAAAAAAAATTAAACCAAAGCCAGAGAATAGCTAAGAACAAATAGGCAATTTATAAAGGAGTGAAAACTAGAGAAACATAAATGGTGCATAAAGCTGAAGCTGAAAGGGACTTAGACAAATGATCCGGTAATTTTATTTTATACATCAAATCAACAGAGTCTGAAAGTGGCACCACCAAAAATACTCAGCTGTATCAGGAATTTACAGTTAGTCTGAAGGGTTCCTCAATGTAAATGTGTTCCTCCATGAACATGATCCAGTTAGAGGCGTTATGGCTCTAAAAGGGTCTGTGGTCAAGTGAGGTTGTGGAATGTATCATGTAGCCTTCTGAGAGTTCTGCTATGCACCAGGACATTTTAGAGACCCCATGAAGTTTTGCAACAGATCAAGCTCTTAGGCTTTGTACAGTACAGCATTTCCCAAACTTTCTTGAGTTCTGGACCATTCTTCCTATGAATACTTTTACAATTTTCCAAAACCTGCAGGAAAGTGCAATCTCCCTGTTTGTAGGAAACAAGTGAGGAATTGGTAGAATATGAGGTTTTGAACATCGGAGTAACTAGACCTTCTGAAAGAAGATGAAGATAACAAAACTAGAATCTTCCCACAGGATCCCTCCCATAGTAGCCACAGGTGATTGTTTCCAGGGCCCCCAGAGACACTAAAATCCTTGGAAGATCAAGTCTGCTATATAAGATAGCCTAGCATTTCATATGTACCTGTTGTTCTTTAAATCCTATCTAGATTACTCATAATAGCTAATACGTGTAACTACTATGGGAATTATTCTGTTACATTGTATTGTTACTGAAAAGAAGAAGGAAAGTTTTGTACAGACACAACCATTGCAGACCTAACTTTAGTTTCTGTCCATGATCGATTCAGTCCACTGACAGAAAACCCTGGTATTCAGTGTTATGCTGTATTTCTTCACGTCTTTGCGGAATTAGTGCTGTTCATCAGTGAAAATATTCTGACTTAAATTACTACAAGTGATGGATTGCTTTTATACAGACTTGCTACTAAAAAGGTTGCCAACATCAACTTTATTAAAACTCAGAATTCTTAATGAAGCACATTATGCATCTGTTTTCCAGGACACTGTAATTTATGAACGACTTGCAGAGACTTCAAAATACAAGGAAATCACCTTAAAGCATTTAGAACAGTTTGCTACTGAAGGTGAGCATTTATATGGGGAAAAAAGCTGGTTATTACACAAAGAAATCATATACTTTTTTTTTTTCTTTTGTTGGTCTTGGGGCTTGATCTCTGGGCCTGGGCACTGTCCCTCAGCTCTTCAGCTCAAGGCTAGCACTCTACCACTTAAGCCACAGTGCCACCTCTGAAATCATATACCTTTGATGTCTCACAGGATCACATATTATTTTACTTAGAGATTCTAAAGGCATCAGTTATTATTGTTAACTGAGCTTCTACTGTGTGCTCTTCCCACCCATTTTTTTTTACTTTCCTAAAATTGTTTTTATTAAAATGCTGAAGTGGGGTACTGGTAGCTCACAGCTGTAATCCTAGCTACTCAGGAGGCTAAGATCTGAGGATCTCAATTCAAATCCAGACTGGGCAGGCAAATCCATGGGGCTCTTATCTCCAATAAATTACTAAAGAGGAGGAAGAGCTGTGGCTCAAGTGGGAGAGTGCTAGCTTTGAACAAAAGCAGCTCAGGGACAGAGCTAAGACCTGAGTTCAGGTCCCAGGACTGGAACACACACACACAAATATTATGAGACTGTGTCCCCTTGTTTTAGGTGACAGGAATTAAAAACATATACTTTTGGGAATGGATCCCATTTGTAATTGAAATACTTTACCTTGCAAATCAAGCAGTTCCTTGGGGAAAAACACTGGAGTCCAAGAACTGGGATAGTCTAATCTGAGTACAGGAAGGAGATAAACTTAATGACCATTAAAATAGTTTGGCAGTTTAGTTTCAACTTGGAACAGTTTAGCTTCAACCACATGGCTCTCTGTGGGAGGCCTAAGAGTGCCGGGTAAGTGAAGGTAGCCTTGTCTCTGTCTTCATGGCGTACATGAGTGAGGCAAGCAGCATGTGGTCTGGAGAGATGATACAGACAAGATGAAGGATAGTGCGGGGCAAGCATTAGGATCAGTTACTACAAGAATTTCTATGTGGCAACCGGGGCTACATCTAAATCCCCTGTCTTGGTTTTCATTCCTCTTTTAGCTAAGAAAGTGGCCAATGGTCCCAAACTTGATCCCCAATCAATTCCCCATTTCCTTCTTATACAAGCTTGAGTAAAGATAGGAATGTTGTTTTTAAAACTAGATAGATAAATAAACTCTATGGGAAAACTAGGGTGGGCTCTGAGAAAACAAAAATCCAAAGATCTTTCTCCCAGCTCTAAAAATAAAAGCGTGTTCCTAGTGTCCCTCAAGGTCAACTTTTCTCCGCTGGGGATGGCTGGGTCAGACCACCTGACACACAGGATTGGCATGGGTTGTGTTTTGTTGAGGAATGGGGACACAGTGGGCATCCGTGTCTGTTCTGATCCTGGTGATACCCACACACTGGCTCATTGACAAAGACTTGAATTAGCTTTGGCCCCATCTTCACCCCAATGTCTGTGGCTCTAGGATGAACAGACACTTCTATGTATATCATGGCTGCCCCCGATAACTTTTCCAGCCAAGTTTCTGAAAGAGAAAATGTGGACTCACAGATTTCATTCCACTCTCAGTGACCCAGTAAGAGGGCTGAGTACTCCACGTTCTTTGCTTCTTGTTTCTAATGTGTTCCCCTGATTGTATTTGATTGGATTAAAGGTCACAAGGCCTGGAGTCTAGTATTAGTCATTCTGAGATAAATAACTAGGCGTGAAGGTTTGACTTCTTCCTTGGATGACTGACAAATGCTCTGTTTCTCCTTACTTCCAGTCCCAGTCAGCTACTTTTGTTTGTCTGTTGTTTTTGTTTGTTTGTTTTTGTTGGTCATGGGACTTGAACTCTGGGCCTGGGCACTATCCCTGAGTCCTTTTGCTCAAGGCAAACACTCTAACACTTTGACCATAGCTCCACTTCCTGCTTTCTGGTGGTTAATTCGAGATAAGAATTTTACAGACTTTCCTTCCGCCAGTTGGCTTCAAACAGCAATTCTCAGATCTCTGCCTCCTGGGTAGCTGGATTAAAGGCTTGAGTCACCAGCACTCGGCTCTCTCTACTTTTTTTCTGGCTGAGGTGAAGTGAAACGGATAAGCATTGAGTCCTGAGGGGCAGTTACTTCAGGCAACAGTCTTGACTGTTCTCGCAGTCTGTGTCTCATGACTACTCTTTGCTGCACTGTCTCTCAACTATGGTCTTGTTACTCTACCTTTATCGTGGTAGAGAACAGAAGTAAATATAGTTGAATAGCCAAGTAATAGGAAGGTAGATCAGGTAGATCCTGCCAATGGTTTCTCTCTTCCCTCCCAATTAGCATCTATGAATCCATCATTCTGGCCCAGCCACGGTGCCCAATATTGGTTATAGGTATATGGAACTATATGGGTCCCTGCCATCCAGGAGCTTCAACCTAATAGAGGAGGCCCACAAGAAAAACGATAGAACATTGTCATTCCTGTTGTAGGAGTGTTTGGAAATTTTTGCCTGTGGAGGCTAAGGGAGAGGAGAGTGCCTCAAAACAATGCTTTAAGAACTTGTTTTTGAGACTCACTATGTTGCTCAAGCTGATGATCCTCCTGCCTCAGCCCCCTAAATTCTGAGATTACATTAAGCTAGACCACTATGCCCAGCTTAAAGTTGAGTCTGAAAGTAGATACAAGTCTTAAGTAGATAGTGTAATGATGTTTGAGGGTGGATTGGAGGGCAAATGCTCGTGCCGAGGCTGTGACACAAAGGAAATGAATGGTAGAGAATGGGACAAGGCACTGACTAAACTTGTGAGCGCCATACTCTGGGGTTTAGATTTTATCCTGGGGAATAATGGAAGGATTTCAAGCAAAGGAAGAGGTTGATGGATTCAGATTTTTAGAAAAGTCTAATTGTGGAGGATGGAAAATAAAAGCAAGCTACCAATTTTGAAAGCTGGATGAACATTCCCCAAAAGTAGACATGTACAGTTTTTGTCATAACTGAATTCGACTTCAGCAATTGAACCGAAGCCATCTTTTCAGAATGAAACTTGTTTCTTATCGTGGAAATGTTGGACTTGGATTTGTGAATAAAGTCTCCCTTGGTATGTCGGGGTCTGTGCTGCCTTTTTCAGGGCTGAGAACTTTGTGTTTTGCTGTGGCTGAGATTTCAGAGAGTGACTTCCAAGAATGGCGAGCTGTGTACCACCGAGCATCCACATCTGTGCAGAACAGGCTGCTAAAGCTGGAGGAAAGCTACGAGCTCATTGAAAAGGTGCGTGGGGAACGTTTGTATCCTACAGTAGGAAGTTAGGTTTCCAGGAACTTTCTTTCTGGCAGGGACCAACAGAATGAAAAGCAAACTAGTTTGACACAACATCCAATGTTGATTCTCAACTATGCATGAATATACTTTAAATTTTGCTGTAAAATCCCTGAGATTGGGTATTACCATGCAGTGGTCTTTACTCTTTCCAGGTTAGTCTCCGTACCAGTGTTTTTCCATTGTGCTACCCTGCTGAGCTCCTGGGTCTCTGTCATTTCTGACTGACCTGGAAATATCCTTGCTTTCCTGATAAAAAGTCTAAAAGTGATGGATGTCCTGTAACTGGTGCTGTACCAACAACAAGAAATTTGCTTCTTCAGTTAACAAAGACATTTTGTGTAGTATGTCTAGTCCAATGGAGTTTTAAAAATCATTCTATTTCCAGATGAAGAAATCACTGAAATAGGGAGGTTAAGTGATGTGAAGCTTGCACAACTCCTCATGTTCCCATGTTCATGCTTTGAAGCATTCAGGCACCTTACCTCAAGCATTCCAGTCTCCATTAAGTAACAACCTATTGGCTGAATTCCTCCAACTGTTCTCCTGCTTATGCAGCATAGAATCCCGCCCTTGAACTCTGGTTGACTTGATCTTTCTCCTGATAGGTCAAGGCTGACATTTGTTTTTCCTTCTTGACTATTAGCATAGGTACTTCTACCACATCCTGTCTGGGAGGCAGCCCCAGGACTGATGCTCCAGGACTGTTTTCCCTCCAGCTTCCCATGTGACTGCCCCTTTACTACATAACATCAACTTCCTGCCCCTTCATGTAACTAGTCAGTTCATGTTCTAGGACAGATGGTTTTCTCTGTCATACACATTTGACACATGTACCTCAGTATCTTGAGAACACTTTTAAAGAAGGTAGTTTGCATCTTGCATTATGTTTTATGGTATGCATCCCTTCTGTATTACGTATTTTATAAGGGAAAATATCCAGGTTCATATAAATGTGGCCATTTATATAGAAAGTGATAGGTATGTACATATGTATCTAAATATCACCCCCTAATATTTGAACTCAGTTTCTATCCTGTCTCTAACATGTACAATAGCATATATGTGCCTTCCCCCTGCCCATACTAAATTTTAGAGGTATACATAGAGTTGCCCTCTGCCTTGCTCAAGGGGCTCTAGGAATAAAAAGCAAAATATCTCTATACAACACTGTGATTCTCCTTTCATCTAAGCAATAATAAATCTTATCTACACGTGTGTGTTGCTATTACTAATTAAGGAAGCAAGAGTTCTTGCCACTGTTAACGAACACCCATTGTAGTGTATCTATTACTTTCAAGCTGAATCGCCTTGGTTGCTTTAACTGTAAAATTAAAACAGTTACAGTTCTGATAGTTGCTTGTTATCAATTGACTTAATGAAAATGCCTTTATAACTAGAGCATGTGCATACTCAATCACTGTGGTGGTAGGGACAATATGTCTGCCTCGCCTCTTTCTTGATACTACTTCCCAATATAGTTATGTTTATTTCTTTGAAACTTCATGTGCTAAAATAAAATGATCTGACCCCAGAATTCACCACTTTTAATCTTTTCAACCAAAATCTTATATATTAAAGTATATTCCAGTTGAAGCACAGCATAGAAAATCCTGGGGCTAAATGTTTAGTGTACTAAAATTCTTCCTCCTAGAGTTACAAATTAGATGTTCTTGGATTAACAGTTGTTATGTGATTTAAAATTTTAGGACTTCCTATTCACTGAAGTAGATATTCAATCTACTTCCAGCAGATGGCGATCATGAGTTACATTGAAATCTGAAGTTGCCAGAGAATCTCTCTTAAAGCAGTATTTTTTTTCTTTCTTTTAGTATCCAAATAGAGAAACCTTCTTTATGACTTCCCCTTAACTAAACATAAGTTAAATGGAGAAATTAGAGATAACTCATTTTTATTTTCTGATAAGTCATGTGCTGTCATTCTTGAGAAATCTGAGATTTGCAAAGCTAGAGATTGGGTCCCCTTAACTCAGCCAGCCTGTTTGTTTTCTCTGTCCTTTCCTACTCTAAGATTGGGTTCTCATGTATTGTTTCTTTAATTAACCCTCATTAATCAATTAAAATGTACTAATGTGAGAGCTGCACAAGTATAGCCCTTTAGGTGACATTCTGAACAAATGCCCTAAGTGAAGAATCCTGAAGAAGGGATCTGAGGAGGGACTAACAGACTTGGTTCAAAAGATGCTTTTAGAGATATAGTAACTCAGCATGGCCCTCAAAAGGTTATTTGACCAGTTAAGATGTGAGCAGAATTTTTTTTTTTTTAGGAGAAAAATTGCACAGGGGTCTCTGTGACTGAGCTATTTTTCTAAAAAGTACTGCCAACTTCTGGTCCTTTGAGGACTTGCAGGGTTGTTAATCTGTCACTTTCCTGGTCTGAGCTCCCCTCTTTGTTTTAATCAGCTGGGGTTGGGGTTCAGTAGCAGCTGTGGTTACCACCATGAAAACCACCCTAGGGAGGCAAATTTCCACAAATCAGACCACCAGTCTCTCTCGGTGCCACCTTGCCTTTCTATTTAACTCTCACAGGCTTAGAGTGTCTCCAGTTTGCTTTCTTCCGTACCCGCTTTAACTGAGACATGTTGATTATGCAATCTTTTTTTACGTTCTTGGAACCTGCTTTTATGCAGACCATAATTCTGGATTTGGTATCTAAAATGGTGAAATTTTAAACCATAAGACCACCTTGTCCTCATGGTGGTCCCAATATGGTTTTCACAACTCCGGGGCTCTGTTGAGTAGTTGGAAAGCCATAGAATGTTACGTGTGTGTGGACTTTTTTAGAAAGTGTACTTCCCCAAAATTCAGAACATTGTAGTGACCATACAAGATAATTCTGAACATATTTGTATTAATGAAGCAAAATGCCTTCAACATGGGAACTAATAATTACCTCTAAAACATTCAGAAGGTTTATACAGATTCCCAACAGACCCCTGCCCCAGAAAAAAAAAACAGAAATATATTACAAAATAAATGAGCTCTTTATAGCTTAATTAAGGTTGTAATTTAAGTGTTGTTCACTGTCTCTTATCTCTCCCATATGTGTTCAAATTCGTAATTTGGTTTTTCTTTTTTTTTCCTTAGTAGACAATTTTTTTAATTTTTTGTTTTATTTATTTATTTATTTTATTGTGAAAATACCATACAGAGGGGTTACAATTACATGGGCAAGATAATGAGTACATTTCTTATCAAGCATTATTACCTCCTCCTTTGTTTCCCCTTCCCATCCCTTCTCATCTCCCACTCCCCTTCCTGCCCCCTTTCCCCCAGCCAAAGTTGTAAAGTTCATTTTTCAACATAACATCTTGTACATCTCATTGTTGCAATGGGTCCACCTGTATCCCTATTTAAATGATTTGTTTTTTCCCCTCCCCTCCACAAATTATACCAACATCAAATACAGTGAAAGCAGGGGCTATACCATTGGGGGGGGAACATACATAGCAACAAAGAAATCATCTTACAAATATGTTAGAAACAATCGCATGAAAGAAAAAACATATCTTGGGGTTCATTTCGCCTAACATCAACTTATCTGACCTTTTCTGCTGGTCTCAGACATACACTAATTATTGCAAATAATGGAGACCATGGGACCTATGTTTCTTTGGGCCTGGCTTACTTCATTTAATATAATTTTTTCCAAGTATTTCCATTTCTTAACAAATGGGGCAATGTCATTCTTTCTGATGGAGGCATAGAATTCCATTATTTATATATACCACCTTTTCTTGATCCATTCATCTACTGAGGGGCATCTGGATTGGTTCCATATCTTAGCTATGGTAAATAATGCTGCAACAAACATAGTTGTGCTGGTAGCTTTAGTATGGTCTTGTTTGTGATCATTTGGGTAAATGTCCAAAAGTGGGATTGCTTGGTCATAGGGGAGCTCTATGTGGAGTCTTTTGAGGAACCTCCATACTGCTTTCCAAAGTGGTTGAACAAATTTACACTCCCACCAACAATGCAGTAAGGTTCCCTTCTGTCCACATCCCCTTCAGCATCTGTTGTTATTAGATTAGAGTTCTTGATTATAGCCATTCTAACTGGGGTAAAGTGGTATCTCAATGTTGTTTTGATTTGGATTTTTTTTTTTATGGCTAGAAAGGTTGAGCATTTCTTCATGTGTCTATTCGCCATTTCATTTTAATTGAGGCTTTATTCCTTTTGGAGTTACAACTCACACATATGCAGGAAAAAATATACCCAAATAGGCTGAAAAATAGAAGAAAATATTGGCATATGTCTTGAGTTCAGTGCTTCAGGGCACTGAAACATGCCACCTTTCCTCCAGCCTCCCACCCAGAGCTACACTGAAAAGAAGAGAATGTGGGAGGTTTGAAAAAAATCCTCAGGATACTGTTGCCAATACTGAAAAGCATTAAGAAAAGAGAATTTGGGGTTTTTAATAAACCTCCTTATAAAATACTGTCATCCTGTCTGTCACTAGGATGCACTGCTCATGCTCCAGTGTTTGCATTCGTATGGTAAACGTTTTAGAATAGTTAAAATTCTACTTCTACTGTTACAATGCTCATCAAATAATTCAATTAGCATTAGATGCTTCAAGAATTCATTACTGTAGCATCTCCCCCCCCCTTTATTAAAGATAAGGCAAGAATGACACTTATTACTAGAAAAGTGTAGCTTATCGAGCAGCCATAAGAATGTTGGCAGAGGTGGCGTGCAAAAGGGACAACTGAGAGTCACAAGCCGCCGCCATTCTCTTGACCCACTTGGAGGCAGAGGATGGCAGCTCCCCACTGGGGACCATGGGCAGTGACACCTCTCTTCATCACCACTTGAGAGAATTTACAGTTGTCTCATTCTTTTGACGACAGACCTGACCTCTTTTGTCTTCCTTAACCTCATTCTTTTGAGAGATGCTGATATATATTTGCACGCATCATCTAAATTTAAGAC